AAGCTTCATCAGTGAGGCATGGGAAGCTGCATGACCCCCCTTGCAACTCACTCACTCTCGGATGGGGCTACCATCTATGCCCCCAACCCCAGCTCCTGCAATTCACCTGCTTGGGCAGTCACCACCTCCTCCCTACACTTTCACATCGCAGTCTACATAAGGTACCCAGAACAACACCTCTTAGCTCTTGTCCTCCCAGTATCCAAAAAGGGTAATGTAATGGTACTTAATAAAGCTGTCTGTGTAACTCACCAAAAACGAAGTTGTCTGGTCTGAAGATCTGACCAAAAGGACCTGAGCGAACAGAGTCCATGGTCCCAGGTTCTAAGTCCACCAAGATAGCACGAGGAACGTATTTGCCACCTGCAGGAAGCAAAGCAGAGATGTGAGAGGGCGGCTAAAGATGCCGAATTCGGCAGCCAGCTGAGATGGAAGCTGATGGTGTCATTCCACGTCCTGCCGCCAGGGGGTAGCAGAGCTGTGTGGGTGCTAGGTCTCCCAAGGGAAAAGCCCCAGCTTCACCCTAAGGGAACAAGGGGTTCCCTCCGGCTAGAATGCCAGGGGAAGTAAAAGGCTGGAGGATGGCTATGTCTGAAATCCACTCAGGCCGCGCCCTCACCTGTGGCTTCATTGTAGTACACGGAGATGCGGTCGAGCTGCAGGTCGCTGTCGCCGTGGTAGGTGCCGGTGGGGTCGATGCCGTGCTCATCGCTGATCACCTCCCAGAACTGCGGGGGCGGGAGAGGAGGAAGCTGAGGCCCCTTCAGCCGCCCGCCACACCCTGGGCCGGAACACACCGCTGTCCGGCCAAGCTCGCCATCCACAGCAGTGTGTGGCTGTGAGGGCCTGCCATTCCCGAGCAGCCTCCCCGTCCTCCATGCCGGGCCCCGCCCGTCCACGCGGCGCAGCGCGCACCCGCGCGGCCACTGCCGCAGTCGGCCGGCCCCGCCCTCCACGTGACCGGCGCGCGCGCACGCCGAGCCGCCGACAAAAGGGGGCGTCGCGCGCGGGGGCGGAGCCAAGCCCCGACCGCGCCACACTGGGGCGGGACTTGCCGCCAGGCGCGGGCACGCAGGAGGGCGGAGCCTCCGACAGGAGCGCGCCCGGCCCCGCCCCCGCAGGGCCCGCCCTTCTGCAACAGCGTCCCCGCCGCACTTCCTCCCCGCCCTGCCCCCGCTACACTGTATCAGCGCGCGCAAAAAAAAAAAAAAAAAAAAAAAAAAAATCCCCTAACCCCTCATTTTTTTTTTTTTGGTTCTCTCCGCTTCTTCCTCCTAGTTTTAAACTGAGCGTCCCCCCCCCCCACGCTGGTCTTGGAGGCCTCACTGAAGGAAAAGTCGAGTCCCCTTTCTCTTGCCTGGTCCTCCCATGCGCTCACGCCCTTAAGACCCCCCTGAGGGGGGACGAAGAGGCGCTAAAGGATTGCCGCACATTGTCCTTCCATGCATGGAGCCCTCGGGGCCGGCACCCCCACACCTCGCCGAGGGCCGCAGCGCAGCCCACCCAGCGCACCACCGGCTCCCCCTCAGCCCCGGCCTCGCCCCTTGCCCCTCCACGTCTCTTGGCCCAGAGGGGGCCGGTGGATGCACGTGGCGGACCTCGCCCAGCTTTGTCTAAGGCCCCCTTCCTCATTCCGAGCTCCCCAGCGCTCGGACCGTTAGGAGACGCTCTTTCCAGTCAAACCGGTGCAGCTCCCGTCTCCCCGCCCCGCCAGCACAAAGAGCCTTCTTCCAAGAGCAGCCCCCCAAGGTGGGACCAGCCCAAGCCCACTCCCCGCGTTTCCGTGGGCCAACGATGGCTACGGGCATGCATTAGGCTCATCGAGGAGCCTACTGCGGGAACAAAGCTCAGTGGAGGGTGGAGACTGCGGTGGCCCCAAAAGCGTCCCCATGACGGCTTGGGATTCTCTCCTTTCACGGGGAGAAAAGCACCTCCAAGCAGCGGTCTCGAAGACTTACCTTGGCACCTATCTGGTTGCCGCACTGGCCGGCCTGGATGTGCACAATCTCCCTCATGGCTAGAAAATTTAATTTTCTTTTTGGCTCAAGATGCCGTTACGAGGCAAGACAATAATGCAGTCTAGCTTATTTTTCCCCCCCTCTCTCTGGGCGTCGCAGGCGGGAAGGATGGAAGGCGCCCGGGAGGTTGCAGCAGGGAGGTCCGAACGCGGCGGCACCAAGGTTCGGAGAGGCAGAAAAAGGAGGGGAGGGCGCAGGAGGGAAGGCGGGCAGGGCGGGGCGCGCGTGCGCGGGCTGCAGGCGGGCGGGCGGCCCGCGCCTCACTCGGCAGACAAAGCCGCCCCGAGCCGAGCGCCGATTCGTCGGGGCCGGTCACGCACCCGCACGCCCATTGGTCTCCGCCGCGCTGGCCTCTCTGGGAGCTGTAGTTCTCCATTGTTGTCCACGCTGCAAAATCCAGGGACCTGGGTTGGTTTCTGGGCTCGCGTGCTCAATGAAAAGGGATTTTTGCCCAAGATTCCCTCCCTCTGGGCCTGGGTTTTGGGGGTATTTTTTTGGTTTTTTGTTTGTTTGTACAGAAGAAGATGGAATGGGAGTGAGGAGGATACAGGGATGGGGGAGTCCTGGGTGCCAGGAATTAGGAGGTAGGGTAGGCACGCCCAGTAAGCTCCCCGCTGTGGGTGGTAGCTCTGGGAAGAGGAGACTGCTTGGCTCAGCTAAAACCGTGAGGTACCCTGCCCTGCTCCTTAGCACGTGGCCCTGGGGTGACCCTTAGGCTGAAGTTGCCTGTGTCTCTGCTGTCCGCATACCTCAGGGAGGAGGTGGTGGGGGTGCCTTGCTTTCCTTTTCAATGTGTCGAAAAAGAAACGAAATTGTATCAAAAGTTTCTTGGGAAAAGCATTCTCTGGAGATTGGAGGAGTATGTTCAAAGAATAATTAGTTACAAAGTTTAGAGAAACTGACAAAGGATTTGCGAAATCTTAGTGTCATTGATCTGGGCCACATCCATGCTGGAAAACACCTTGATTTTCTTGCCTAAACAGGGAGCTGTGGGGGCTGAAGCTTGATGGGATTTCCAAAAGAAACCCGTGCTTTTTCAGTTCCCTGATTCCACTGACCAGGTGATGGTGAATGCAGAGCCTCAGAATTGGGGGGAAGGCAGGGCAAGGGGGACTGAAAGAGGAGAGAGTGACATGGGCTTCAGTGGGGCCCCACCAGCTTTCAAGGATTCATTCCTCTCAGCAAACTTAAGGCAAGTCCTGGGATTCTGACACTGCATTTCAAAGACCAGTCCAACCTGCCCTCAATCCCCATCCCTCCAGGCTCTGCATTTCCTTGCCCACAGGGAACACAGAGGCTGAAATTCCCTGGGAAAACTGGTCCTGGGTCCGACTTCTGCTTTTTTTTTTTTTTAATTAAATTCCCCAACCCCTTAGTAACACCTTCAAGACCTCAAAGTATGAAATCTCCTGTCTGCTGAAAGACTGGGTTCCTGTCGCATGTCTCCTCCATCAACAAAAGCAATTGACCATCTTCTCTGGATTTCTGTCTTTGACAATAAATGCAATTTGGCTGTGACTTCCTACCCCAGCTCTCTCTTTTGCTGTTCTGCATCTGTGCCCTAAAACTATACATCCACCAGACCAAGAACCAGGGATAGAAAAATGAATTAGTGCCTAAAGCCCTTGCACTGAATGTGCTGGGATCCCATGTGGGTGCTGGGTTGTGTCTTGGCTTCCCCACTTCCCATCCAGCTCGTGGCCTGGGAAAGCAGTACGGGACAGCCTTGGGACCCTGCACCTGCATGGGAGACCAGGAAGAAGTTCCTGGCTTCAGATTGTGCTCAGCTCTGGCTGTGGCAGCCATGTGGGAAGTGAACCAGTGGGCAGATCTTTCTGTCTCTCCTCTATGTATATCTGCTTTTCCAATAAAAATTAAAATCTTTTAAGAAAAAGAAAAATGAATTAGTGCCCTGGCCTCCAACATCTTCCACTTGGATGAGGAATGTGTAAGCAACAGCCTGTGGTGAGCATGGTAATAGAGATGGGATTTGTCAAGGTCTTTGTTCATCCACATTCCATCAACATGCAGGTCAAGGCACATTTCTCAGTAAAGGAATGTGAAGTTAGTGTTAAGACCCTTCTACTCAGGGGCTGAAGCCATGACTACAAGCTAGTCTTCTGCCTGCATAGGCACCCATCTGTGTCCTGGCTGCTCCAATTCCTATCCAGCTCCCTGAGGATGGCCCAAATCCCTGGTCCCCTGCACACACATGGGAGACCCAGAAGACACCCCTGGCTCCTGGCTCAGGATCAGCTCAGCTCTGACCATTGGGAATTGAACCAGGAGATGCAAGATCTCTTTCAGTCTCTCCTCTGTAAATTTTAAAAACAAATCTTTAAAACGAAGCAAAACAAAAGACCTTCTGCTCAATGAAAATGCCTTGTTTTAGGTTATGCTCACAATGAAAGCCATTATGTTGGAACCGATTGAGAATTAGAGGACTTGTTCTGACATGTCACTACATGAACAAGTTCATTTAACTTTGCACAGCTTCAAAGCTCCACTAAAACCTCCATTCCTGGGACTGTAGTGGACGGAAGCTGAGCTAACTCGGACACATGTGCTCACTGCATGCTTCTTTAGTAGAGAATGAAATAAGTTAATTTACCATCCTTCCCTTGTGCCGTAATAAGTGAGAAAAAAGAGTTTTCTTGAGTTATTTTAGACCCTCACGAACCTTCCATTTAGAAAAATGCCCTCAAAATGTCCGTCGGCGATGTACTCCCAGAAAAAAATGACTTCTAAGAGCCTAGCCTAATCAAAAGGCAATGAGATTCCACTGCAGTGAGGAGTCCTCGAGGGCCACGCCCGCGGGCTGTGGTCCAGGATGCAGCCGGGAGCCACGACTGCAACCCGCAACCCGGTTTCATTTCTCCTGAGTCAGCGGACATCATGTCTGGGAGGACCGGAAAAGGGCGCCCTAGCCGCATCACTGGTACCCGATGACGATGGTACCGACTCTCTATCCGGCGTTAGCAACTGGCGCCAGACTCTATGGTCGCCGTTTGGAAATGAGCGCGGGAAGAGGGCAGTCCGTTGGGGCTGTCCAATCAGGAGGCGCCATTCGGGGCAGTCGTCGGTGACTTTCCGAGCCAAGCCGAAATCTCCCGGGAAATGCTTTCCCTTTGAACTGGAAAGCGGCGCGTGGGGGAGGGGATTTGAATGTGGGACTTCCTCGAACCGGAGTACAGCAAGGCCGTGAGCGACAGCGGCTGCAGCCAATCAGCACGTTGGATCGCTGTTGGAGCGCGCATTCGCACCGCCCCAGTGGCGACCGTTACTGGCGTCGCGCGCGCGCGCGTACTCTTAAAAGTCGGTGAGTTCTGGGGGCCTCGCCCACTTCTGCGCCGGTCGCGGGGCGGGTGGGGGAGGGGGCGGGGCGGTGGCACTGGGCGGAGGGGTTCGGAAGTTTGTTTCTCGGCTTATAAAACTCGTCCTCACCTGACGCCTCGCCCCGAGTTTAGGTATGAAAACACCGGGAGACGTTGGTCACGAGGAAGCCCCACTGGGTGGGGCTCCAAAATGGTGGTCCCTTGGAGTTGGAGGCCAGGAACATGGCCACCCGCTGGTTTGGCCCTCCTGAGGATGAAGTTAACCTTATTTTCGTGATGGGGGCGTTTTTCTTCCCCTAACTGCCCGTTCCCCTCTAGCATGGGATCTTTGTCAGTTCCATCCATCCTCCTCCTGTTTATTTTTTCATACTAGGCTCAGGAACGCCACCTGGGTGAGGGCAGGATTCGCCTTCTGTTGAGTTCACGGATGTATCCCCAGTTCTTTGAACGGCACTAGGTGTGCCATAACCACCGTGAATTGAATCCGTTGAGTATTAGGGGAAAAGGGAAAGTCTCCCTGGTCCCGAGGGTGGAGGTGAAGTGTGAAGGGGGCAACAGACAGGAATGGTTACAGCGTAAGAACAGCTAGGGTGGGCGTAATCCCATAGACCACCGCGAACGAGGCAGGAACACTTAAAAAAGAAGAAAAGCAAAGCATTGAGAGAATGACAGTTAAGTAAATTATTATTGTATTACTAATATTGAGAGACAGAATCTAATATTTACTGATTTAGCTCCCAAATATCTTCAATAGTGAAGACTGTGCCAAACCCAATGTCAGGAGCCTGGAACTCCATTGTGAGTGACACTTGCCGGACCAGGCTTCCCATAGGCAGGAAGCTAAAACTGGAAGCAGAATTATGACTAAAGAGGAGCAGGGCGTTAGGAGTTGGGTCATTAAACTAAGGCAAGCCTTGGAACTAGTGGAAGGCATAAGCTATGGAGTATGGGCTAGGGAGAGGTCCAGGTGGCTGACTGGATCACAGGTTACTGGGGTAAGGGCATGGTGGCGTGGGGAATTGGGCGTATGATTACAGAACGTAAGGCTTAAATCACTGGGAAGGAGAGTCACACGAAGTTTAGGTCTCTTTTATTTGTCCTGTGGGTATGACAAAAAACTAGAGAATAGTAAACAGAAATGGTGTTTTGGGGCAATTTCCTTTAACCCATGCTTCTACTTTGTAGTTTTATTTGAAAAAAAAAAAGGAAGATAGTAACATTTTAGAGTTTTTGTGAAGATGATACGAAAATAATTGGAACAGTATCTGACCCAGGAGATCTATAAATGTAGACTGTTAGAACTTTTTGTATTTTAGTCTGATGACACTGAGGTGTTGTGGCAAGGTGTAAAAAATATATGCTGTACAGCCAAAAGCACATTTATTCTTATCTGTCAGCTTACCTGCTTGTTATATTGAGCAAATTATTTTATATCTTTAGCATTTGTTTCCTAAATGTCTGCCTCATTTCACAACTATGCTTGACACATAACGCCCAGCTTGTACTTGGCATATGTTCGCACAGTGGTGTTTTCACACCAGGTTGCAGCCTAGTAGTGGGTTGTGGTGTTCACTTGATAGGTTGTAAATCATCTAAAAATTATAAGTACCACCAACATTGTGGTGTCCTGGATTTAAAAAAATATGATGCTGGCATCCCATTATGAGAGAGGTGATTTAAAGTTTAAATCCTGGCTGCTCTGTTTCCCATTGAGCTCCCTGCTAGTGTGCCTGAGAATGTGATAGATAATGGCCTGTTCTGCTATCCACATGGAGTTCCTACCTTCTGCTTTTGGCTTGTCCCAGCCCCTGCCAGAGTGACCATATGGATGTGAGCCAACCAACAAATGAAAGATGGCTCTGTCATTCTCTCTTGTTTTCTTTTCAAATACAATCTAATGACATGTATGGAAAATAGAAAAAATAAAATGAAGAAATTTAGTGTATTATCGTAGGATTGTTTCTGAAAAAATATATAGACATTTGAATTTATTTCTATATTTAAGATTTTATATTTCTTTGTAGCCTAGTGGGTAAATCCTTACTTTGCAACTTCCAGGAGCCCATATAGGCACCGGTTCATGCCCCAGCTGCTCCACTTCCCACCCAGCTCCCTGCTTGTGGCCTGGGAAAGCAGTAGAGGATGGGCCAGGGTCTTGGGACCCTGCAGCGGTGTGCAAGACTCAAAAGAAGCTCCTGGCTCCTGGTTTCGAATTGGCTCATCCGTGGCTGTTGCAGCCTCTTGGGTAGTGAACCCGCAGATGGAAGATCTTACTGTATTTCCTTCTTAGGTATATCTGCCTTTCCAATAAAAAAAATTTTTTTTTCGTTATTTTTAAATTTTTTAAAAATTTCATTTCAAAAAGCAGGTCTGTTATCTGTGGTCATGACAATTAAAATCTGTGCTAACGCATGGCAGTCTATTACAACTCTACAAGTAAAAAAAAATCTTAAAATTTTTTGGAAAGATTTGTTTGAAACAAAGTTTGAAAACAAATAAAGGCCAAGTTAGGGAGATATTTCCATCCACTAGTTGACTTCCCAAATGGCCTCAGTGGCTAGAGTTGGACCAATCCAAAGCAAGGAACTTCTTTAGGGTCTTTCCCATGGCTGTGGAGGGGCCTGTCCTTGGGCCATTCTCCCCTACTTTCCCAGGTACATTAGCAGGGAGCTAGATTAGAGCAGATGAGACTCAAAGCAGTGCTCATACAGGGTGCTAACAGCATTGGCAGTGACTTTACTGCTGAATCACATCACGATCTCTTCCCACAATATTGTTTAATGCATTAGAAGGATAACAGAATGACTGAAGGAAAGCCAGGCATCAGCTTCTGTAACCAGCCAGTTCCCCCATCATCAGTCTCCTCTTTGATGCTATCTATTTGACCCAGGGACGGGGATAATGTTGTTTCCTTCCCAGACCATGGAAGACACCCAAGCCATCACCTGGGATGAAGAGGAGGAGGACACACAGCAACCCAGCTACTCTTCAGGGGGCAGCTCAGAGCCCGTGGGGCGACTGCATGTCTTCAGCAGCAACTATGGACCAGAGAAAGGTCAGAGCGAATTGGGTGCTAATGTATTAGAATAAGTCCTTTTATTTTTGTAGGGAGGTACATGGAGGATGGCAGGAAACTTATGTATGCTTCAAGATCCTAAACATATTTCTACTGGAACTGGACAAGATGGGACAGATTGAGTTGATTTTTTTTTTCCCAGGCTGGTATCCGGGTCTTAGTGGGGGTAATTTTATTTGGACAGGAGAGGATAAAGAGATTCAAATAAAATCTCATGGAGAGAATAAAGAGATTTAAATAAAATCTAGAGCTTAATAGCATTAATGATTGTACAATAATGTGAATGTGTGTACTGTTCCTGAATTGTACACTTAAACATTCTGAAAAAGTAAATTTTGTGTTATGTATATTTACCATAATTTTAAAAATGTCCGATGCACACAGGTGGGGTTTTGTGCAGAAATAATGTGTTGTATGTAATATTTTTTTAAGATTTATTTTTATTGGAAAGTCAGATATACAAAGAGGAGGAGAGATAGAGAGAAGAACTCTGTACAATGATTCACTCCCCAAGTGACCACAACAGCTGGAGCTGCACTAATCTAAAGCCAGGAGCCAGGAGCCTCCTCTGGGTCTCCCACGAGGGTGCAGGGTCCCAAGGCCTTGGGCTGTCCTCAACTGTTTTCCCAGGCCACAAAAGGGAGTTGGATGGGAAGTGGGCCGCTGGGATTAGAACTGGCGCCCATATGGGATTGCACAGTGTGCGAGGCGAGGTCTTTAGCCGCTAGGCTACTATGCTAGGCCCGTAATCTTTAATTCCTGTGTTTCCTAGGATTTTTTCTCATGCTTGAGGAGGGGGCCTGAGTAAGTAGTGGGGTACCTGATAGGAACATTTTCCTAATGACAGGCCATGGTCTTAGAACCCGTCTGCCTTTCTGATGCCTAGATTTCCCACTCTACCTCGGGAAGAATGTGGTAGGCCGGCTGCCTGACTGCTCGGTGACACTGCCCTTCTCATCCATCTCCAAACAACATGCAGTGATTGAGATCTTGGCCCGAGACAGAGCGCCCCTCCTGCAGGACTGTGGGAGCCTCAACGGTACTCAGATCCTGAGGCCCACGAAGGTCCTGAGCCCCGGGGTGAGTCATCGCCTCAGAGACCAGCAATTGATTCTCTTTGCTGACTTGCCCTGCCAGTACCATCGCCTGGATGCTCCCCAACCCTCTGTCTCCCGTGGCCCTCTGACTGTAGAGGAGACTCCCAGGGCCCAGGGAGGAATTCAACCTACGAGGCTGCTGTTGGCTGAGGACTCAGAAGAGGAGTTGGGTAAGTTTGCATTTGGGAGGGTGATGAGGAGGCAGGGATGCCATAAGGTGGTCACTTACTCCTCTCTCATCGTGGCAGATTCTCATTTGAAAAAATGTGTGATGAAAGATCCAAGGAGTGCTTTCTCCCCTTGGGCAACAGTTGTACCAGAGAGGTGAGTGCCAAAGGGTTAATGCTTGAATCTTCAAAAGGACCAAGAGCCAAGGGCTGGAGACTCAGTCTCTGAGCCAGAGATAGGGAGAGTTAAGCTGGGCCTCTGTGGTACAGGGGATCTTCTTGAAGTTCGTGAATCGTGTATGTTGTGAAAAACTTGTGAATGCATTTCACCATTTTCTAGCACCCAAATTAAGTGACCTTCCAAGTTGATTTTAAACAAACATTTTTTTTTAAAGATTTATATTTTTTTAAAGATGTATTTATTTTTATTGGAAAGGCGGATATACAGAGAGAAGAAGAGATAGAAAGGAAGATCTTCTGTCCGATGGTTCACTCCCCAAGCGGCCACAACGGCTGAGCCAATGCAAAGCCAGGAGCCAGGAGCTTTTTCCGGGTCTCCCACACGGGTTCAGGTCCCAAAGTTTTTGGCCGTCCTTGAGTGCTTTCCCAGGCCACAACAGGGAGCTGGATGGGAAGTGGGGCTGCCAGGATTAGAACCCATATGGGATCCCGACGCATACAAGGCAAGGACTTTAACCACTATGCTATTGCGCCGGGCCCCTAAAGATTTATTTTTATTTTAATTGGAAAGTCATATATACAGAGATAAGGAGAGACAGAGAGGAAGATCTTCCATCCCCAAGTGGCCGCAATGGCCAAGGCTGAGCTGATCTGATCTGAAGCCAGGAGCCAGGAGCTTCTTCCTGGTCTCCTACATGGGTGCACCGTGCCAAGGCCTCTGGCTGTCCTCAGCTGCTTTCCCAGGCCATAACAGGGAGCTAGATGGAAAGTGGGGCTGCCGGGATTAGAACCGGCGCCCATATGGGACCCCAGTACATGCAAGGCAAGGACTTCAGCCTCTAGGCTACCACACCAGGCCGCTCCACAAACTTTTTAAAGTTCTCTTACGTTTACTCTGCTGATTTTTTAGAGTGCAGCCCTAATGTGCCCAGCACTGAACTAACTGCTAGAGAGAGAAATACACAGCTGTGCCTGCCCGCTGCCAGGGAGCTCCCAGGCCAGTGGGCTATGCCCATTTTCCTGGGAAGTCAATTCAGTGAACTCTTGTTCTTGTCTTCTTTCCACAGCGATGAAGAGGGGCTTTCTCCTGCCCCTGGTGGCCCTGGGCCATCTTCTAGCTTCAAACTGGAAAGTGACACAGATGAAGAAGAAGGGCAGCTCTCAGCAGCAGAGGAGACCTCCTCAGCTGCCAGAAGAAGCGCTGCCATAGTGGCCAAGCAGCCCAATGGGGTGGCAGCAAAGCAGCAGCCTGCTGTGACAGAAACTGGCAATGACACAGAAGTCCAGAAAAATGCAGACAATAGGCTGGTTCCAGATGGGGTGATTCTGGAGAGGAACCAAGCACCTGCAGAGGAGAGTAATTCAGATGTGGATGACAACAGGCTTCCCAGGAGGCCCACCGTGAGCCATGTGCAAAGGGCCCAGCCTTCAGACGTCATGGACAGTGACACTGATGTGGAGGAAGAGAAAATCCCTGCCACCCCAGCTGTGGTTCCTGTGAAGAAGAGACATGGCTTCTGTGGAGTTGGTCCCAGCAGCCCTGGAGCACTCGGCCCGCAGGAGAGCCAAGCTGGTGGTGACGCAGATGGGGAGGAGAGCAAGGCCTCCCTTGCCATCCCTCTGGTGAGAAGCCAAGCCCCTATGGTGATCAACAGTGACACAGATGAAGAGGAAGAAATTTCAGCAGCACTCACCCTGGCCCGACTGAAAGAGAGCCCAGCTGCTGGATGGAACAGAGATAGACATGTGGAAGGGGACAGAGGCCAGCCCAAGGTCCTTCTGCACCAAAACCAGAGCACCTCTGAGAGAGACAGTGACACAGACATGGAGGAGGAGAAGGGGGTGCCAGAGGGACAAACTGTCCCCAGTGGTCACACTAACAGGAATGGAACTCTATATACAGCACACTCAACCATGAGCGCCCCTCCTCCTGGGGAGAAAGACATAAAGGTGGAAACAGAGATGAGCTCACCTGGGATCCACCTGCAGAGAAGCCAAGATTGCACCACAGTGGTCGTCAAGACAGAAAAGGAGGAGGAAGTATCACGAGAGCCAGCTGTTGGACATCTACAGAAAGGCCAGGTGCTGGGGGAGACAACAAATCAAATCAAGGTGGAAGCAGAGGGTGACCCGGCAAAACTGGGTTGTGAAGCAGATGCGGAGGAGGGCACATCCTTAGCAGCCTCAGTAGTGACAGATGCAAAAAAGAACCAGATTCCAGTGAAGGAGGCTGCAGACACAGACTATACTACAGCCAGGCAGGAGAGCGCTGTTCAGTTGGGGGCCCAGGATAGGTCACCTGTGGCCCAGGTGGAGCAGAACTTTCTCCCTGTCTCAAAGAAGAACCTCACAGATGAGGTAGTGGACACAGGTTCTCCAGGAGGAACTACACAGTCACAAAGAGAGGGCGCCCAGACCCCCATAGGAACTGAGAGAGAGCTGCACATGGGCAGCACCAAGGGCTTGGAAGAAGACTCTGATGGTAAGTGCTGGCTTTCATCCTCCTGGACCTCTATATCAACAGTGGTTATAAGGGTTGGGTTTCAGAGAGAAGAATAAAGTGAGGCATTTAGGATTAGGTAGATTTCTAATGATCTGCCCTATATTCGTTCCCACTAGATTTTGATGATCTGGAACTTCAGGCCACCCAGTGCTTTGTGGACAGGGATGTACAGCACCTGGAAGGTGAGGACGCCGATGGGTCAGGTCCCAGTGCCAGGGGAAGGAGGGAGATTAGACAGATGGTCCTTGAACAAAGTGGAGGCTGGTGTGGGAGGGAGGCAGGAGATGGACCTAGGGGTCCTATGGAGGAGCTGTGGCCATGCCATCCTTTCTTTTTTCTTTTTTCCAAATTTTTTTTATTGTATTTCATTTTATAACATTGTTTCATAGGCTCTGATGTTCCACTATCCCCTCCGGGTGCCCTCCGCCCATGGTGGATTGCTCCACCTTGTTGCAGTATTAACAGTTCAAATCCAGTCTTGTTTCTTTCATTGCAAGCATGTGCCATGCCTAAAGTCCAGCATCTTACTGTCCAGCTCAATTCAACAGTTTCTTGGGGAGACCAACTCTGGTCTAAAGGCATAGCTAGCAGAATATTGTTCTGACCAATTAAAAGCCATAACATAACAACAACAGTTTCCAACATTATGGGGTTAATTGACATTTTATTGAATGCCATCCTTTCTTGTGCCACAGACCTGAATGTGGAGGATGAAAGCTTGTTGAATCTGCCTCCGGAGCCTGGGTCTTCCTGTTGTAGCTCAGGTACAAGAAACCGTGTTACTAACTTGGCATCCTTTCCTTCCTTCATCTACTTGCTTCTTCCAGGTTGTATTTGGCTGGTGTTTGTTTCTCTCATCAGAAAAGAAGTGTCGTGTCAGTTCCAACTCATAGACCAACTAGTTTAGATGTTTCATTTTGTTAAGATTTATTTTGTGTGAATAGCAGAGTTACAGAGAGGTCTTCCATTCACTGGTTCACTCACCAAACAGCTGCAACAACGGCCAGGGCTGGGCCAAGCCAAAGCCAGGAACAACTTCTAGGTCTCCCACATGGGTGCATAGGTCCTAGTGATTGGACCATCCTCCATTGCTTTCTCAGGCACATTAGCAAGGAGTTGGATCAGAAGTGGAGCAGATGAGACTCAAACAGCAGCACCTTTATGGGATGCCAGCGCTGTAGGCGGCGGCTTTGCCATAATACCTGCCTCTAGACTCTATAGATTATATTTTAATAGATTGAAGGACCTAGTGCGATAGCCTAGCAGCTAAAGTCCTTGCCATGCATGTGCCGGTAACCCATATGGGTGCCAATTCTAATCCCAGTGGCCCCACTTCCCATCCAGCTCCCTGTTGTGGCCTGGGAAAACAGCTGAGGGCAGCCCAAGGCCTTGAGACCCTGTACGCACATGGAAGATCTGGAAGAAGCTCCTGGCTCCTGGCTTTGGATTGGCTCAGCTCCAGCCATTGCGATCACTTGGGGAGTGAATCATTGGACGGAGATCATCCTCTCTGTCTTCTCCTCTCTGTATATCTGACTTTGCAGTAAAAATAAATAAATCTTTAAAAAAAAATTGAGGAAGCTGGGCCCGGCGCAATGGCGCAGTGGTTAAGGTCCTCGCCTTGCACACCTGGGATCCCATATGGGTGCTGGTTATAATCCCGGCAGCTCCACTTCCCATCCAGCTCCCTGTTTGTGGCCTGGGAAAGCATTAGAGGACAACCCAAAGCTTTGGGACCCTGCACCCGCGTGGGAGACCCGGAAGAGGCTCCTGGCTTCGGATTGGCTCAGCTCCAGCCGTTGCGGCTGCCTGGGGAGTGAATCATCAGATGGAAGATCTTCCTCTCTGTCTCTCCTCTCTGTATATCTGCCTTTCCAATAAAAAATAAAATACATCTTTAAAAAAAAAATTGAGGAAGCTTTCCTGTGAGGGTACAGGCTTTTTGAAATAAGTACTAAACATTATGACTAATTACTATATTTCCAGCTTTCTTTTAATAATTATTTTAGATTTATAAGGAGTTCATTGCAATTCTTTCTCAGTATGTTACCTTTTCAACCTGCCCTCCTCTCTCCTGTCTACTTGCAGCTACCATGGATGTGTCATGGGAGCTCATGGCTACCCAGCCATTCTGTACAACAGAGTCTGACGCCTCTGAGACCCAGTCCACTGCCACCCACCCCGAGGCCCACGGATTCTGCCTGTCTCCACCTAGCACAGTACCACAAGAGCAACGTGCAGAGAGCCCAGAACACACAGAGCTACTGGGGAGTCAAGGCAGAGCGATGCAGACTATGGAGAAAGACATGGGTACAGCCAAAGAAACAGCAGACAGGGTGACTCCTGAGAGAGGGCCATGCGAGAGGGACACCAGCCAGCTGCCACCAGGAGAGCAGGAAGCTACGCTGGGAGGGGGACAGTCCACTAGGGAGGTAGAGGACAGAGAGCAACAGCAACTGCTAGCTGGAGACACTGAGAACCAAGAGCCTGACCACAGGGAGGAAAGTGCAAGTCCTGAGAGGGATCAGGAGAGTCTGCAGGTGGAAATGGAGACAGCCGAGGAAATACAAAGTAGAGAAACAGAGAAACAGACCCTTGGGAGTGAAGTATTTGAGAGAGAAGTAGAGAGGCCTGTGCCAGAGAAAGAATGTGAGCCAGCTAGGTTAGAAGTGACCCCAGTAGGAGAGAGGAGAGAGCAGACAGAAGGGAGCCAGGACCAGAGAGAGCAGGCCTCCAGTCCCAGACCACAGCCTGGAGTAGGGGAGGGGGAGCCTCAGGGACTTGCCTCCACTCCCATAGTTTCTGAGAGCCAGTCAGGTGGAGGAAGGGGAGCCCCAGGGAGCCCCACAAGGCAGTTGAGAGGTAAGTGTCAGCAGAGGGAATCCCAAGATGCTATGCAGCCTTCCTGATCATCAACCCATGAGCAAACAGCTGCATAGAACTCAGCCACACTTTTTGTTTTCTGCCTAGACCACTTGAAATGCAACCTGTCACGTGATGAGACTTCCAAGGTGAGAGCTGCCCTCCTACCTGCCCCCAGCTCAGCACTGCGACCCTGCAGTGGCCCTTCCCTTCAGCTTGCTTTCATTTCACCTTCCCCCATATCTGCAGTTTTCTCTACTCCTGGGTTGGCTTCTGTCGCACTGCTTTTGACTCCCACAGTTTTCCATGTTTCCCAACTTGTTGCTCCCTCTACCTGACTAGAAAAAGAAAGTCCTTTCTTTGTGCTTTTCTCTCTGTGCCTGCATGGTTGCCTTTACCGCCACTATCCATGTGTGGGGTCATAGCAGGAAAGGTCTGTGGGAAAGAGAACTGTTTCCTTCCCAGGAAGTCCCAGGCAGAAGAAATGCCAGGAAGGCATCTGTATTCTCTCTTCTCACTACCACCGTGCCTTGCTTTTCTCCCTAGGGTGATCCAGAATGCCCAGATGCTTGTCGGCCTGAAGCCTTAACCCCACTCCCAGACCCTCTTATCTCTCAGGACCAACAACATCCTGCCCCTCAGCCCTTTCTTCCTCCTTCCCCACCTGCTTTTGAGTCATCCATTGTTAGGACCAGGCAGAATGGAAATCAAACTCCAGAAAGTTCCTTGTCCTCAGAGCTGGAACATGAAGTCAGGCCCCAGAGGTCCTCTCCAGTTTTCTCTGCTGCCCTTGAACCTCACCCTCCCACTCCCCCAGAGCAGTGTGATACCCCCAAGCCCATACCTCGGGCTACTATGGGTAGGTCACATAGGTCCTCTATTAAGACCCTTGAACTGGCTGAGCTCACAGTCCCTGACTTCCAGCCATCCACCTCCACAGAGCAGTCTGACATCCCCAGACCTACAGTTCGAGCTACTCGGGGCAGGACCCACAGGTCCTCTGCCAAGACACCTGAGCCAGCCAAGCCTCCTGTCCCCACAGAGCAACCTGATACCTCCAAGCCCACACCTCGGGGCAGGGCCTGTAGATCCTCTACCAAGACCCCTGAACCAGCTGAGCCGCCTGTCCCCACAGAGCAGCCTGACACCTCTAAGCCCACATCTCGAGGCAGGGCACGTAGATCCTCTACCAAGACCCCTGAACCAGCTGAGCCTCCTGTCCCCACAGAGCAGCCTGACACCTCTAAGCCTACATCTCGAGGCAGGGCGCGTAGGTCCTCTACCAAGACCCCTGAACCAGTTGAGCTTCCCATCCCCACAGAGCAGCCTGAAACCTCTAAGCGCACATCTCGAGGCAGGGCACGTAGGTCCTCTACCAAGACCCCTGAACCAGCTGAGCTTCCTGTCCCCACAGAGCAGCCTGACTCCGCCAAGCCCACATCTCGAGGCAGGACATGTGAGTCCTCTACCAATACACTTGAACCAGTTGAGCCTCCTGTCCCCACACAGCAGCCTAACACCCCGAAGCCCACACCTCGAGCCACTCGGGGTAGGACACGTGGGTCCTCTGGCAAGGCCCTTGAGCCAGCTGACCCTCCTGTTCCCCCTGAGCAGCCTGACACCCCGAAGCCCACAGCTCAAGCTACTCGGGGCAGGACACGTGGGTCCTCTGTAAAGACCCCTGAACCAGCTAAGTCTCCTGTCCCCACAGAGCAGTCTGACACTTCTAAGCCCTCATCTCGAGGCAGGACACGTGGGTCCTCTGTAAAGACCCCTGAACCAGCTAAGTCTCTTGTCCCCACAGAGCAGCCTGACACTTCTAAGCCCTCATCTCGGGGCAGGACACGTAAATCCTCTACGAAGACCCCTGAACAAGTAGAACCCATAGCCTCTGATCTTGAGCCTTCCTCTACCAGGGACCAACCTGTCACCCCTAAGGCCATAGCTCAGAGTAATCAGAGCAAGACACTGAGATCTTCTAGATCAAGTGTTGTGCCAGTTTCTGCCACCTCTGAATTTCAGTCAGCTGTCACTGCAGAGCAACAGACCCTGCAGCCCATTCCTCAGGGCAGTAACAGCAGGGCACAGAGGGTTACAAGGAAGCAGAGTTCACCCAAAGCTCCTGTTGTCCACAAGCCTTGCTCTGCACTCCCTGAGCCTAAATCCCGATCATCAAGGAACCAAAGACAAGGAGCAGTGAGAGCAGCTGAGTCCCTTGGGACTGTCCCTGAACCTTCTTTTTCCCAGCCTCCTGGGGTACCTACTCATGCTCCCCAGATCCAAAAGGTGGAAGCATCAGACATATCCGAAGTCGCCCAAGAGCTTCCGCCAAAGGTCTCTTCAAGCTGCAAGAGGCCTTCATCATTCATTGATTCACCCCCACGTCATAAACGACTCCGCAGAGGGCAAGTGTCCCCAAAGACGGTGTTCCCCAGGGAGGAAGAAGAGGGTGCTTCCGAGAAGCCAAGGAGGGAAGAGGTGAGGAGCATGGTGGGGCCGCAGGATGATGAGTGGACAATGGTCCTGGCTCAGAAACTCTTGCTGAGACCTTTATTACACACAGGACATAGTGGTTCCAGGACCAGGCAAGAGAAAGAGAGGCCAGGCAGAGAAGGAACCCCAGGAAGTACCAAACCGCAGCCGCCGACGGACCAAACCTCTTGAGCCATCAGCAGCACCCAAAGTATGGGTAGGGGCCATCTGGGGCTTTGAGGGAGGATGGGAGGAGACCCCGGGGGGTAGGGTGAGGAATGTCAGGGCCTGGCATTGCTTGCATGGCACTCTCACCAAGACAGGTGAACCCCTCCCACAGGTGCTCTTCACAGGAGTCCTGGACCCTCGTGGAGAGCAGACAGTGCTGGCCCTTGGAGGGAGTCTGGCCAGTTCAGTGGCAGAAGCCTCCCACCTGGTCACTGACCGAATCTGCCGCACTGTCAAATTCCTGTGTGCTCTGGGGCGGGGCATCCCCATCCTTTCTCTGGACTGGCTGCATCAGGTGAGGAACCTGACAGAGGACAGTGGACAGAGACGAAAGTGGTGGGAAGAAAAGGGATGGAAACACAAGGAATTTGAGAGGTGAAATGTTTGATTGATGAAGAAAAACGTTTCTAGAACTATACAGATGCTGGACAGGGGAGCAGGGCACAGCCTGGGCTGAACACTGATGCTGACTGCTGTCTCCCTTAGTCCCGAAAGGCTGGCTGCTTCCTGCCCCCAGATGAGTATGTGGTAACTGATCCTGAGCAGGAGAAGAATTATGGCTTTCGCCTTCGGGATGCCCTGAGCCGTGCCCGGGAGCGAAGGCTGCTGGAGGTAAATGGCCACCTTCTGCCCTGGGCTTCAGCCCACCCTCCAGAATCTCCCAACAGCCCAGGAGCTCTCAGTGGCGCAGAGACAGCTCCTCCTTCCCCCTTTTCTGTCTTAGGGCTATGAGATTCATGTGACCCCTGGAGTCCAGCCACCACCCCCTCAGATGGGAGAGATCATCAGCTGCTGTGGAGGCACCGTCTTACCCAACATGCCCCGCTCCTACAAGGTGGGACTGATGGGTTCTGCTGGGTCTGGTGATGTGGCTAGAAAGGGGTGATGTGATGAGGAAGAAAAGGAGGTAGAATTGTAGAATAGTGCAAGGGCAGGAGAAAATATATGGTATAGAAAGAAATTGGAGGGCATGTATTTGGTGGCAGTGCACAGGAATCCCATACGTGAATGCAAAATTCAGTTTCCCTCCCTACCTAGCTTCCTGCTTAGTTTTGGGCCTGGTCCACCTTGGTTACTGCTGGCATTTGGGGAGCAAACCGGCAGATAGATTTCAGTCTCTCAAATAAATTGGGAGCTGGCAGATGGGAAATTTCTGTGTCTAAACTAGATGGATGTATGGCTGGATAGATAAACAGACTAACTTGAAGGGAGTAGATGAGGGAAAGGACAGGAAGCAATGTTGTCTTTCATCTTAGAGTTAAGAAAGAACTTTTGTAAAAAAAAAAAAAACACTATAGGAGTGAGAGATCTACTCATACCACATGAACTTAGTTTTTTTTATTTTAATATTTTTAAATATATATATGCATATATAGAGAGAGACAGACAAAAGCACAATACAGGGAACCCTTCTATATCAGCAGCCACATTAAACAGTTTGGTCTAAATTATGTTATATTTGCTCAATAATTTTGTCATTTTCTTTGTGAAATATTTTAAAGATTTATTTATTTTTATTGGAAAGGCAGACTTAAAGAGAGACAGAAAAGATCTTCCATCCACTGGCTTACTCCCCAAGTGGTAACAATGGCCAGAGCTGCACCAATCTGAAACCAGGAGCCCAGAGCTTCTTTCTGGGTCTTGCATATGGGTGTGCAGGGACCCAAGGACTTTGGTCATCCACTGCTGCTTTCTCAGGCTATACGCAGGGAGCTGGATGGGAAGTGAAGCACCTAGGACTGGTGCCCATGTGAGTTGCTGGTGCTTGGAAGTGGAGGATTAGCCAGTTGAGCCATCATGCTGGCCCCCTAATGCCATTTTTAAAAAGCCTCATTCATATATTAATTCAAAAGATAGAGTAACAGAGAAAGGAGATAAGAGAGAGAGATTTTCTATCCACTTTTTTTCCCCCAAATGCCCAAAACATCTCGGGCTAGGCCAAGCCAAAACCTGGAGCCAGAATCTTTGAGTCTCCCACATGGGTGGCAGAGGACCAAATACTTGGGCTCCTATCCACTGTCATCCTAGGCACATTGGGAGGAAACTGGATCAGAAGTGGAGCAGCTAGGACTCACCACCAGCACTCCAGTAATGGATATTTAGCATTGCAAGCAACAGCTTTACTTACTGTGCCACAACACTGGCCCTTAGAATACACTTATCAACCTTCAGCACAACTGACAGTTTGTTAGTTATTTTCTCCATGCCATTAGTCAGATTTCACTAGTTTTCTGAAAGATGCTTTTATAATTTTCTATTCAAGATGTAAAGTATGGCTGATGCATTGCTGCCATTGTTCATCCCATCTGTTAATTCCTTGTTTCCCCAACCCATAGCCTTTTTATACTGTGACTTCGTACAGAAATTCAGTCACTTGTCCTTTGCAATGTTCCGCAGGTTGAATTTTGATTTTTGTTCTATCATTTCTCTTATTTCTTTACCTTCTGTATTTCCTATAAATTATAGTTACTTTTAAAGGCTTGCATAAATTCAGATGCAATTTCCCCCCACAAAAATATTTTGTATAACTCTTTGTCAAGGAGTTACTATTTTGGTGATAATGACTAGTGGGGCCAACAGTGTGGTACATCAGGTTAAACTTATACTGCCTTCAGTGGCAGCATCACATATGGGCACTGGTTCCTGTTTAGGTTTCTCCACTTCCAATCCAGTTTCCTGCTGATGGCCTGGGAACAACAGCAAAAAAAGACCCACTTGTTTGGGCCTCTATCACCCTTGTGGGAAACCTGGATGAATTCAGCACCTGGCCCAGCCCTGGCGATTGCTGCCATTTGGGGAGTGAACCAGCGATGAAATGATGAAATCTCCTTTCTGTAACTCACCATTCAAATAAATAATTAAAAAGGAAGAAGAGGAAGAGGAAGAGGAAGACCATTGAATCTTGCACCCATTTCTAGGATCCTGCTTCACCGCTGACTTCCTATCTGCTCTGTCTCCCCCAGCCTCACAGAGTTGTGATCACATGTCACCAGGACTTCTCTCGCTGCTCTGGCCCACTTCGCCTTGGACTGCCTGTGCTGTCGCCCGAGTTCCTGCTGACAGGTGTGCTAAAGCAGGAAGCCACGCCAGAGGCCTTTGTCTTCTCCACTTTGGAAATGCCTTCCACCTGAAAGTTCCAGCAAAGAATTAAAATAGAATTTGGAATAAAAGACTTCTTAAGACTTTAGAAAAGTTTGGGGTGTGGGGTGTACTGGTGTAACTTGCCCTACAGAGACATTCATTGGGGACCACAGATTTTCTAACGTGGCTATTAATCCCAGGCTCAGCCCTCTGGACCATTCATCTCTAGCCAGACTGCTGTCATTAATGTTCGTTAATGGCACACAAAGTGTCCTGTCTGCTTGTTTGGAAGCCATCTCCTCCTACTGGGATTCTCTTTAACTTTTAAAGATAACAGGACAACTTTGGTGTCAGGAACTTAAGGGATACTTGGAGTAGATTTGAGGATGCAATTACAGTTACTACTAAAATACTGTCCTCTTCTGGCTTCATGTGGTTACAGGGAACCTCTGACTCTGACTTTGAGCAAGCCTCTGCACTTTTCTGCCCTGATTTTCCAGCATTTACAAAATTACAGCTTAGGTCTGATCTATCAAAATAAATATTCACTCTGTGCCTTATGGTGTAGTGCAAATTTTTTTTAAATATCTGGGTCTTTTTAAGAAATGGTTTAAATTTGTTTTAACTTCTCTTTGAGGCACATTATGCACTACTTAAGTTTTAAAAGTTGATTGTTTTCAAAGATGTGGAGAAGTTTGAACTATATACAGCTGGTGGGAGTGTGAAATGATTCAATCTCCACAGTAAACCGTTAAATGGTTTCATAAAAGTTAAGATATAAAATTACCATATGACCCAGCAATTCTGCTCCTAGGTATATACCCAAAAGAATGAAAACACTTTTCGTTTGTGAGTGCTCATATCAGCACTTTTCACAATAGCCCAAGAAGTGCACAATGCAAATATTCATCAACAGATGAGTGGTTAAACAATTGTAATCTATTCACATAAAAGACTGTTATTCAACCATTTTTAAAATGGGTTGAAGTTTTGAGAAATTGCTACAGTATTTTGAGTATTTTGCTAAGAAGCCAGATGCATGAGGAAACATTGAAGGGCTCCATTTATATGAAATACCCAGAATAGGTGAATTCATAGAGACCAAAAATGTAGACGGGTGATTCCCAAAGGCTGGGAAGAGGAGGAAGCAGGGAAAGAATGAAATGGATGTAGGGTTTATTTTGAGTCAAAAGTGTTTGGGAACTAGATACAGGTAATAGTTACATATATTGCAAATGTACTAAATGCCAGTCTAAACTGGTCAATCTATTTGTGTGTATCTCTCTTCAATAAAAAGACTGTTAATGAGTTTTGTACACATTTTTAAAAAAATATTTAATTAAAAAGGCAGATCAGATTCACAGGAGAAAGATCTTTCATCTGCTGGTTCCTTCCCCAAACAGTTGCAACAACTGAAGTTGAGCTAATCCAAAGCCAGGAGTTTCTTCAGGGTCCCCCATGCGGGTGCAGGGTCATGAGGCTTTGAGCCATCCATCCTCTACTGCTTTTCCAGGCCACAAACAGGGTACTGGATGGGAAGTGGAACAACCAACACACGAACCAGTGCCCACATGGGATCCTGGTACTTGCAAAGTGAGGATCGAGCCATTGTGCCAGGCCTCCTGTACATTTTTTTTTGGGGGGGGGGGGCGGTAAATGTAAATTACAGTTCAGTTTGGAAAATGATGTGATAGAAAAATGAAGAGCCACTATACCTTTAAAAAAAAAAGGATTTATATTTATTAGAAATCTCAAGATCAGATTTACAGAGAGGGAGACAAAAAAGTCTTTTCATCCACCGATTCACTCTCTAAATGGCCACAACAGCCAGAACTGAGCCCCTTCAAAGCCAGGACGCACAAGCCCCCTGGGTCTCCCAGAGATGCAGGGTCCCAAAGGCTTGAACCATATTCCTTTTATTTTTCCCAGCCACAGACTGGGAGCTGGACAGAAAGTGGAGCAGCAAAGCAGTGTACACAAGCCCTGATGTAAAATGAGATTAAGGCAGCACATTTGATGCTGTAGCAGAAGAACAGGACTAACTGGACAACAACCCCAAGCAAACGAACACAAATAATCTCAGTGAATGGAGCCAATGGACATTGGGAGGGTGACATCATCCTTAGATTAGTGAAATCAGCATTTCAGAACTATCCAAGCCACTTGGACAGAACCCTCGGAATATGTACATATTGAGACTTTGGGTTGATATGAGGTGGAGGTTCCTTATCCCTGGGTACTGGGATGTATGGAAAGTCATGAGTGCGTGTCTCCTTTGTTTTTCCCCTTCCTCCAGGAACAAGAAATGGCAAATTTGGAAGTAATAAATTCACCCAATTTTCTCGAACCCTTGATCATTCCCACCCTGATCAACCATGTAATAATTTTAAAAATAAAATGAAAAAGAAAGTGGAACAGCCAGGACAGAAACTGGCACCCATAGGAATGTTGACATTTGAAGGCAGTTTTAACCAATTGAGCCATCATGCTGGCCCCAATGTACTGGTTTTTACCTACTTTCATAATATACATTCAGCACAACTGTGTGTCACATGATATAACCCAAATCAATATTAGATCCCTTGGATAGCTCAAAGCCATAGTACATGAAAGTGTTCATGTCCCTGAGGCCCACAGGATTCCCCAGGAACTGCTGTAGCTAAAGGACTGTGAGTACTCAGGTACACTGTTTGCATGACTGGCACTGTTTAGGCACTCCAACTTAAAACACTAGAGAGTAAAAGTCCTTTCACTCACCAAAGCTCTTGATACAGCTTATAGCAGATTACCTTGTCTATCACTACTAGCAGGAAATGGAGAGCACAAAATAGAAGCGTTTATTAAGGTGATAATTATAAAAGGTAGGAAATGGTATTGTAATGCAGTGGGTTATTACCCATAATACAAACATCATCCCATTTGTGGGCTTCGGGCTGCTCCACTTCCCATATAACTCCCTGTTAATGTACCTGGGAAACCAGTAGACGGTCCAAGTGCTCGAGCCCCTGTACCCACATGGGAGACCTGGAGGGAGTTGCAGGTTCTGGCTTTGCTGTAACTACCTTTGAACTGAAGGTGACAGACTTTTTATGTAGGGAGGGCTTCCTTCATAAAAACTGATCCTGGGCCTCGTGCAGTAGCCTAGCAGCTAAAATCCTCATCTTGTACATGCTAGGATCCCATATGGGCACTGGTTCAAATCCTGGCAGCCCCACTTCCCATCCAGCTCCCTGCTTGTGGAATGGGAAAGCAGTAGAAGACAGTCTAAAGCCTTAGAATCCTGCACCCATGTTAGAGACCCAGAGGAGGCTCTGGGCTCCTGGCTTTGGATTGGCTCAGCTCCGGCTATTGCAACCACTTGGGGAATGAATCAGCAGACAGATGATTTTCTTCTCTGTCTCTCTTCCCCTCTGTATATCAGACTTTCCAATAAAAATAAATAAATCTTAAAAAAAATTTACATTCAGGACAGTTAAGCAGGAAGTAGGGAGGAGAGTGACACAGGAAGACATGAGGTGTCTGGTACTGTGGTTCACAGCAGTGTTGACTCAGAGTGTGGGAGCAGGAAAGGCCTGGGAGGAGGAGGACTGCAAAGCCTGTGGGATGCTGATGCCCTTAGGGAATGTTAGCACCATGGATAGCAGCTTTACCTGCTATGCCCTTATGCCAGACCCAGAAAGAGATTTTTCATCCACTACAATTTCCAAATGCTACAAGCAGCCAAAGCTGGGGCAGGCTGAAGCCAGGAGCCTGGAACTCCAACTAGGTCTACTTACATGTGTGGCAGGGACCCAAGCACTTAAGCCAACTTCTGTTGCTTTCCCAGGTACATTAGTGGGAAGTTGGATCAGAAGAGGAGCAGCCAGGACTCAAACCAACACTCACCAGTAGATGTCAGCATCACAGGCAGCTGCTTAACCTACTGCTCTTCAACTGGTCACAATGATTTTTAATTTTGACAGAACATAATTTTTACTTTGGTTTTTAGATAGCAATGTTAAACTAAAGTTCATTATAAGCAGGTCTGTAGGAAATACATTAAAGTTTCTGGCTAATATATAGAATCAGACTAGAGTTAATTCATAGAAAGCTGACAGTTACAAGCTTGAATAAAATCACTGCTAAGTAGAACTAAAATAAATCGACAGGGACCCATCACAATGGCTCAATAAAAGGATGTCCAAGTCCCACACCGGGGAACCTGCAGCCCTCCTCCAGCCCTCTGTGTCACCTTCCTACTAACAAGGCCCTCGGAGGGAGGCCACTGATAGTTGAAGTGATTGGATTCTTATCACCCATATCAGAGAGATGGATTGGGTTTTCAGCTTTTGGTTTAAGAAGGGGGCCCTGGTGTACTAGGAGGGTGAGCCAGCCCAAAGGAGCTCTGTGAAATAAATACAGTGGGCCCATAGCTGCGGCTAAATTGCTAAATCCTCGCCTTGTATGTGCCGGGATCTCATATGGGTGCTGATTTGTACCCTGGCTGCTCCACTTCCCATTCGGCTCCCTGCTTGTGGCCTGAGAAAGCAGTGGATGATGGTCCAAAGCCTTAGGATTCTGCAACTGCGTGGGAGACACAGTGGACGCTCCTGGCTCCTGGCTTACGGATAGGCTCAGCTTCCGCCATTGGGGGAGTCAATCAGTGAACAGAGATCTTACTTTCTGTCTCTCCTCTCTGTAAGTCTGACATTCCAATAAAAATAAACCTTTTTAAAAAATCTTTCCATATTAGAGTTCTTTGTCCTTTTAGCAAGTGAAGACGCAACAACTCAACTTTACATCAAGTTGTGGAACACATATTCTTCTGAAAACACTTTTTAAAAATATCTACCCTAGCATCACAGGGGGGCGCCTAGCCTACTCATTCTCCATTGTTAGAGGAGACCCCACTGAGGCCATTACCCACCGGCTGGTTGTTTTCCGTCCGGGCTGCAGTTAAAAAGGGGCTCACAGTTCCCCCTTCCGTTCCCGCAAGAGCAGCCACTGTCTTCACTTGAGATGGCCAAACGAGCCGAGCCTGGGGTTCGGTCCACGCCAGCGCCCGCAGCCCCGCTGCCGGGACACCTCTAGAGATTCTAAGCTTTCCTTTTGTGACGCCCAGTCCCGCAGGCTCGAGACACGCACTTCGGTGGCGGTTCCCGCAGCCTGGCGGGGCAGCAGAACGCTGCGCGCGGAGCCGGGCGTCGGCGTGCGGGAACCCCGCCCTCCGGGGCGGCTCCCCGGGAGCAAGGCGGGGCCGAGGCGGGGCCAGCGGCCGCGGGAATCCCAAACCCGCCTCTTTCCCTGCCTCTTCGCTCCTCGCCATGGCCCCTGCCCTGCTGCTGGTCCCTGCAGCCCTCGCCTCGTTCGTCCTGGCCTTTGGCACCGGAGTGGAGTTCGTGCGCTTCACCTCCCTTCGGCCACTCCTCGGAGGCGTCGCGGACCCTGGTGGTCCGGGTGAGCCGGAGAGGGTCGAGGAGGAGCTGGCGGCGAGGGCGGGGGGACGGAGGTGGAGCTGGAGCAGAGGGCGCGGGGGCGGGGCTGGGAGACAAATGACGGGGAAGTAACTGCAAGAGAGGGAACCCCGGCCCCGATGGTGAGGCTGCGGGGCAGAGGGACCCCAGCACCGAAGTAGGAACGTCGGGGAAGCCGTGTCTGTCGTCTTCTTGATCTTTTGTCCCTGTTCCTGCCACTCCTTCTAGACGTGCGTCAAGGATGGCTGGCTGCTCTGCAGGACCCCAGCATCCTTGGCTCCCTGGCCTGGGACCTGGGACTTCTGCTGCTATTTGTTGGACAACACAGCCTCATGGCTGCTGAGAGAGTGAAGGCGTGGACTACCCGGTACTTTGGGGTCCTGCAGAGGTCACTGTATGTGGCCTGTACGGCTCTGGCTTTGCAGGTATGAGCTCTGGCAGCTGAGTCCCTGGGGAGAGATGGAGTCTCTGCAAGGGGTCTTTCTGTATGGGAGGGGCAAAATGTAGGTTAGGGAGAATGACAAGCTGGGATAGTCAGGACTCCATCTCACAGTGTATTCCTCCGCAGCACATGCCCTACTTTGTATCAAGAAGGGTGCACTGCCCTTACCCAGCACAGTGTGCGCATTTTCACCTTTGCAACTTTGTTCATGTTGGCATCCCTCCTTAACCCATCAGTGGCATTCAGAAATGGCAACACCCGTTTCCTGGACTTCAAGAAGAGGCTTGCCAGAAGTTGTCAGTCCTCTAACTTCTCTGGTCTGGGCTGTATCTGGCACCTCTCAGTTCATCCCCTTCCCTTTCAGAAGACCTCAGTTAGATAGGAATTATCCACACAACCTTGGAACCCAGCCCAGCACCCTCCACAGGATGAACAGTTGTTGATGATGCCATGAGAGAAGCAGGGGAGAGCTGCAGGCTGTGGTGCCAGCCTTGGGGCATGGGTCTTTCAGGGCGGGCAAGGGGGGCTGTTGGGAGACCCAGCCACTCATCCTCACTCAGGTGGTTATGCGGTACTGGGAGCCTGTACCCAGAGGCCCTGTGCTATGGGAGGCTCGCGTGGAGCCGTGGGCCACCTGGGTGCCCCTCCTCTGCTTCGTGCTGCATGTCATCTCCTGGCTCCTCATCTTCAGCATCCTTCTCGTCTTTGACTACGCGGAGCTCATGGGCCTCAAGCAGGTGAGATCACGAGACCCTTGCCTGAGACCCTACACCTTCCTGGGACTCCTCTTTCCCTCCCTCCTCCCCCTGCCCTGCCAATGCTTTTCTACCTCCCCCTGGCTTTCTGCTGCCCCTCCCCTTCTTTGTCTTCCCTTAAAGGAAGCTGTGGGTCTTCTAGGCCGGACAGGGTACACAGATCAGAGATCAGGATCGGGGCCCATGTCCGGGAAAGGAGGGATTCCTGGCCTTGAAGGCAGTGTCTGGAAGAGGTGGTAGAGTTGGAGGACGGGTCTCACCATGTTTCTGTTATTCTCCATCTCCTAGGTGTACTACCATGTGCTGGGGCTTGGCGAGCCTCTGGCCTTGAAGTCCCCCCGGGCTCTGCGACTCTTCTCCCATTTGCGCCATCCAGTGTGTGTGGAGTTGCTGACAGTGCTGTGGGGGGTACCCACCCTAGGCACAGACCGTCTCCTCCTGGCTCTCCTGCTGACCCTCTACCTGGGTCTAGCACACGGGCTTGACCAGCAAGACCTCCTCTACCTACGGTCCCAGCTGCAAAGAAAACTCCACCTGCTCTCTAGGCCACAGGAGGAGGGGGCAGAGTGAGAGAGCCAAGCCGGGTTCCAAGCCACACACTCCCTGTACCCCTTTGAAATTGTAAACTTCTGGCTCTGGCTGCTTTGGTGCACAGGCCTGGGGCCATGGACCAAGGGGGATGGTTGTCCCTTCACACTGTTGGGGACTTCATTCCCTGGGCCCTATGGTCTGAATTTCAGCCACTGGACTCCACAAGAGCCAATGCTCACCAACTAGCAAAATGGGGCTTAGAACTCATGTGCTCACTCACAGTGTCCAACATGACCGCCCCTCCTGGCAGTCTGCTCACAGAAGAAAGGAATGCTGGGATCACTCCCCAGCAGCTCCACTCCCAGGAGCTAGACCAGGATCTGCAAGTGGCTGCCCTTTCAGATCCCAGTCCTTGCCTCTCTATCCCCTTTCACTCCCAGGAGCTTCATCCCACAATCTAGCTTGGAGTGGGGATCCTCCCATACTTAACTCAGGTGATGGATGATTCTGGAAACGAGTACACTGCATGAAAATAAAATTCAGCTCGTTTTTGCTATATATGCAGTCTGTCCAGTGCACGAAGAGGGAGTCAGAAACTGGATGGCCACCACGCCCTCTGGTGACTGCTGTGCTGCGGCCACTCCCCGCGGGCCCGACCCTCTATCCCTGAAGCTGGCTTGTCCGGCTTCCTCCCAATCCTCCCAGTTTTTCCCCGCTACAGCCCAGGGGACCCCAGGGAGACAAGGTGAGCTAACAAGGGTCGGGGTGACAACCCTGGAAGGAGGGAGAAGCTGCCGAAGCCCTGAGCCTCTGAGAGCCTGTTTCCCGCCCTCCCCCTGGTCCCCACAGCCGCCCCCACCGCGACCGCCCTCGACCCGCAGCAACAAAGGCTGGCCCGGGAAGGCCAAAGCGTGGGGCGGAGCGGCGAGAGATGGGAAGGGCGGGCTCGGCTCGGAGCAGCTGCAGCTTCCTCCCAAAGTCCCTCGAGGGGCCTGAGTCACTGGCCGCCGCCCTGGGTCGACGCGAGTCGGGGGCGGAGGGGCGTCTGGAAACTGAGGGATCTTCAGGGCTGTGGGGCAGCAGGCCGGAGAGAATCCCTGGAGACAGGGAGCGAAGGGCTAAGAGGGTGCCAGAAGGAGAGGGGAGTCCAAGTCCACGCGGGTGCGAGGGGAGAGGCTCCGCCCCCTCCTCGGGCTCCGCCCCGCGCCCCCTTCCCTCTCCTCATTGTCCTTAGACAAAGCGGTCGCCGCCCCCGGCCGGCCCCCGGCTCCCCGTCTTCGTCCCTCCTCCTCTTGCTCCCTCTTTCCCTCCTCCTCCTCCTTTCCCCTCTCCTTCCCCCCCCCCCCCCCCAAGCCTCCGGATCTCCCTGGATCTCTTTCTCCTCCTCTTCCTCTCCGGACGCCAGGCTCCTCGGCACCCCGCCCCCGGGGTCCCCGCGGCGCGTGAGTTAACCCAAGGGCTGGGACTTGGGGCAGGGGGTGTCTGCGCTCCCGACCCCGCTGTCGCTCCGGGCTGGGACCTTGAGGCTCTTACGTCTTTGTACCCTGATGATGTCGGTGCGGGCAGCGCGGGAGGGGATGGCCGGCTCTGTCCGGGGACCCCCGTAAGAGCGGCAGCAAGGAGCAGAGGCGTGGAGCCGGCCCTGAACGCGCGGGGTACCCGGGGCACCGGCCGTGGGGGAAGGTAGCAGTAGGGACGGCTCGGAGAGGGGTGGATGGGACCGGGTTCTGGGAACGTGTTGGCAGCACGACACCCGGGTTCCAAAAGTCCCCGGGGAGGGGTATTTCCCCTGACCCGCCTCGGGGGCGGAGTGCCAGGGGTGGGGGGGTTACTGGGGCCGAAAGGCGTGGCCCGCGCGGGGCTGGTCCTGGAACCAGGACTTGTGCGGCCCGCGCTGAGTCGCACCCCGCTGCTCCCTTCCCCTGCTGCCCCCAAGTCCCGTTCCCCTTGGCCTCTGCGTTCTCTACCCCTCCTAGCCTCCCCAACATCCCCTCGGGTCCCGCGCCGCGTCTCAGCCTGGAATCCTTGCCCTTCCTTCCCATTCTCACCTCCCTCGGCTGTCCTATAGACATCCCCGCTTGAACCCGGGTCCCTTTTGCCCTCACTCTCCTCGTGCCAGCTTGTCTCTCCACCCACCACTCTCCACCTCACCTCACTGCCGGTACCGCCGTGAACACCCCTGGACCCGGTGCTGCTCCAGTTGGCTGCTGTCTCTGCCCTGAATCCCAGATCCTACTTTTCCTCTCACATCGCTCTCCCACTCTGAACCTGACCTGGCTTCTGCCTTTGCCTGCTGGGCTTCCTCCATCCACACTCTCGCCTTTCCTTCTGTCCCCAACCTTGGCTCCTCTGTCCTGCATCCCACACCCGTCCTCCACTTCCGCTGACCCCCAGCCCTGCCTCACCCCAGGGCCTCCCTGGAGCCACTTCTTCCTGTTCTCTGCTCCCAGCACACTCTGCCCTCACTTCAGAGGACCATGGCCACCATCCCAGACTGGAAGCTGCAGCTGCTAGCCCGACGCCGGCAGGAAGAGGCAGTGGTGCGTGGCCGGGAGAAGGCTGAGCGGGAACGTCTGTCCCAGATGCCGGCCTGGAAGCGAGGAATCCTGGAGCGTCGTCGGGCCAAGCTTGGCCTGTCCCCTGGGGAGCCTAGCCCGGTGCCTGGGACTGCAGAGGCTGGCCCTCCAGACCCAGATGAGCCTGCTGTCCTTCTGGAAGCCATCGGGCCAGTACACCAGAACCGATTTATCCGGCAGGAACGGCAACAGCAGCAGCAGCGGAATGAAGAAATGCTTTTGGACAGAAAGCCTGGTTCTCTGGAGGCCCGTGAGCGGAGACCCAACCCTGGGGAAATGCGGGATCAGAGCCCCAAGGGAAGAGAGTCCCGAGAAGACAGGCCAAATCCCTGGGAGGCCAGGGAGAAGAGGCTGGGGACAGGCGTGGTCCAGGAGTCAAGTTCTAGGACTTTGGAGCCTCAGGACTTGAGGCAAAGCCCTGGAGATGCGGGAGACAGGAACTCCCGGCTACCAGAGGTGCAGAAGTGGAGGCTGAGTCCCGGAGAGACTCAAGAGCGGAGCCTGAGACTGACTGAGGCTCAGGAGCCAAGCCCCGGGAGGAAGGAGGTGGTGGAAAACAGACTGAGCCCAGGGGAGGCCAACAACCTAGCAGAATCCTCTACACGGAAGCTGGACGCGGGAGAGCCTCAGGAGCTGAGTGTGGGCCCACTGGATGCACCAGAATGGAGACCGAGTTCAGGAGAGGAAAAGAGAGGCTGCACAGACCCAGCTGGGAGAGAAGAACGGCCAGTGGCAGGAACCACCCCAGAAGAGCCCACAGCCTTGTCACCAGTCCCGGTCAGGGCAGTGGAGGCAGCAGAATGGAGGCCCAGCCTGGTGGAGGATGGTGAGAGGGGTTTGAGGCCCCCAGAAGGGTGCAAATGGACCCTAAACTCTGGGAAGGCTCGAGAACGGACCCTCAGAGACATAGAGACCCAGAGTCCGAAATTAGAAGCGACGATGGAGTCTGTGGCGAAGCACCTGGGCCCTGCTGGCGGGGTAGGGGCTGGAGAAGCAGAGGCAGAGGATGAGGAGGCGGGGGCTCAGGGCAGGCCCGGGAGAGCCCTGCAGAACCTCTGCTCTGCGCCCGCCCCCCTTCCACCAGGGGATGCTGGGACAGCAGGCCCTAGGCTGCAGGAAGAGGAAGCAGTGGGACTGAGGCCCCCAGCAGCAACCCCTCTGTCTCCCCCACCCCCAGCCCCAGCTGCTCCCCAGCCTCCTGGGGACCCCCTCATGAGCCGGCTGTTCTATGGGGTGAAGCCAGGGCCGGGGGTGGGGGCCCCCCGCCGCAGTGGACACACCTTCACCGTCAACCCCCGGAGGTCCCAGCCACCTGCTGCTGCCGCCCCGGCTGCTCCAGCTGCCCCAGTCACCGCGGAGGCTGCAGCCCCTGGGGCCGGGAAGAAGCGGTACCCTACTGCTGAGGAGATCTTGGTGCTAGGGGGCTACCTCCGTCTCAGCCGCAGCTGCCTTGCCAAGGGGTCCCCGGAAAGACACCACAAACAGGTAGGGGAGCAGCCCACTTGTCAGCCCTTGCTTGTCAGCCCAGTCTTGTCTATTTTATACTCTTGTGCGCTGTGCTTCCTCTATTCTTTCCTCAGTGGTTCCTGCCACCACCCTTCCTCCTGGTGCACAGGCACACACCCTTCCCTCCTTTTCCATTCATTTCTCAGCCCCAGGGACCTGCCCAGCAGCCTGCTGCCCGGCTCTGGGTGTGTCTCTTTGAGGGTGTGCCCAGGCTGCTCCTTCTCCCTTCCCTCGGGCTCTGACTTCCCGTCTTTTCTTGGCTTCTTTTTCCCAGAGCCCATGCTCCCCTCACCCCCCAGCCCATCTGGTGGGAGGCATCCTTGAAGTCCAAAGGGGCGAAAGGTCCCCAGGCTGACAGCTTTGGCAGCGTTCAGAGGGTGGAAAAGGCAGAGGGCAAGGGGGATTTGACTCTTAGGGGGAAAGGCTGGGATGAAGGTCTGACAGCCCTGAAGGAGTTCCCAGGGGGAACAGAGCCTGGCCCAGACATCCTGGGATGGAGGGGGCTGAGGAGATGGACCAGGGCCGACCAAAGAGCAGAGAGAAGGCTTTTGAACCCCAAGGCTGCCCCACAGCCAAGAAGTAACACAGGGGCCATTGGAAGTGGGTGACCTTGGGGTTACACACCCCCAGCTGGGCCACTGCTCCAGACAGTACTCCCTTCTCTCTAGACAAGAAAAGCCTTCTCCTCTTCCAAAATGCCCCTGCCTGCTGCTCCCCTGGCCTTCCTTCCCAAGCTTCCCTTCCCTCCCCAGAACTGGCTCAGCAGTAGGTTTTCCCCTCTCTTCTACCACCCTGGCTCCCTCCCTTCCTCCCTGCCCCCATCAGGGGTAGAAAGAGAAGTGAACTTGAGGACATGGGCAGGGTGGGGTCAGGGGCAGCAGTGGAGGCCAAGGCTGGTGGAGGGTCAGAGGTTGGACTAGAGCAAGGACATGCAGAAAAGTGGCAGTGGCCAAGCTGACTTGTCCCCCCCTGGCTGTGGCCCAGCTCCTTCCCTGAGCTTGAAAATCTCTGGGGAGAGGTCTCACACTTGACCTCTCTCTCCTGCCCAAGTCCTCTGCCCAATACGTCTCCCAGAGCCTGGGAAGCCCAATTTTCCCATCTTCCCACACATCATGTCCTCAGAGCGGTTGTTTGGACCCCCCCATTGTCAGTAGGAAACCATAGGGGGGGCCCAAAGACCAAGGTTAAGCTTGGGGATCACATGCATCTTGAGAAATTCAATAGAGTGCAGTGTGGAGAAAAGTCACTTGCTACTAAGGTTGCCTCATGCCTTTGGGGAGGAACCAGTGGAGGGAGACCTGAAGTCTTGGGGGTCTTGGGGGTCTTGCAGCCCAGGGATCATCCCCAAGAGAGCCGGGAACTGAAAACAGGGCAGGGCCAGACTGGTGACCGTACCTAGGTCAGAGACCAGGGGAGCCGGAAGCAGACCGCCCAAACAGGAAGCCTGGGGTGGGGGCCGGAAGGCTGGTGGGGAGAGTGGGGAGAGCTGGGCCATGGACCTGCCAGAACTGTGCTCAGGATGTGGTGAGAGAATAAGGAAGCTGCTGCACTGGGGTGGGGGTGGGGAAAGGCGGCTCTGAGTACCCTGGGCCGAGCCTCAGGCCCTCTCGGCTCTGTCTTCCCTTGGCACCTGCTCATCGGGGTTGGGTGTACCCTGGCCCAGCTCTGTCCCAACCCCTCGGCTCAGGAATAGGAGGATCCTGCCACCCAACCCTACCCCACCCTGCCTTCCCTAAATAACTCGCATTTGTAGGCTAATTCCATCAAATGTCTCTAAGCCACCACAGAGAGATGCCAGGCCTGCCAGGGGAGCCCAGCAGTTGGGCTGTGGCTGGTGCCTTCCTCATTCCCCACCCCCTCCCAGGCCCCACCCTTTGCCGGCCCCCTGGTGACCTTATATAGCAGATGCTGAGAGGAGCCATGAGTCACCCCTGCCTGCCCCCCCAGTCCCAGGCCTGCTGTGCATTCCTGAGCCACCCAGTCAGAAGTGAAGGGGGGAGGGAGTAGTGGAGAGAGGCAAAATGGGTGGCCGAGAAAAATGCCGACGGAAAGGGAGTCAAATCAGTCATTTTTCAAAATGGGGAATGAACACCAGAGATTGTTTTCCCAAAAGAGGCTCTGCAAAGAAAACGGAAATGGGTTCCCAGAAATGTGGGTAAAACTGCCAGGAATGATACCAGGAACCCCATTCTAGGAGCTGAGCTGTGTGCAGGGAGGCTATTGTCGCTATATGCAACAGCACAGTTAGGGGTCAATCACATGTCTCCAGCTTGTCCCCCAGCCTGTGACCCTGTCTGAGGGGACATAAGCCATCCCTAACTTCTGTCCACAGCAGGCGCCAGTGTAGTAAAGCACCGTCAGCCCTCAGCGTGCCTCAGTGTGCATGGAGTCCACATCCCTGGCTTCCACCTAGAGAAAATAGATGACAGTATTGGAAAAAAGAATTGCATTATGCTGGACATGTACACACTTATTAATCTTTTTTTTAAAGATTTATTTTTATTATTTTTTTATTGGAAAGGCAGATATACAGAGAGGAGAGACAGAGAGGAAGATCTTCCGTCCGATGATTCACTCCCCAAGTGAGCGCAACGGCCGATGCTATGCCGATCCGAAGCCAGAAGCCTCTTCCGGGTCTCCCACGCGGGTGCAGGGTCCCAAAGCTTTGGATCGTCCTCTACTGCTTTCCCAGGCCACAAACAGGGAGCTGGATGGGAAGTGGAGCTGCCGGGATAGAACCGGCGCCCATATGGGATCCCGGGCATGCAAGGCGAGGACCTTAACCACTGCGCCAGGCCCACTTTTTAATCTTTTTAAAAAATAAGATTTTATTTTTATTGAAAAGGCATATATACAGAGAGAAGCAGAGACAAAGATCTTCCATCCACTGGTTTATCCCCAAGTGGCTGCAACAGTCAGAACTGAGCCGATCTGAAGCTAGGAGCGTCTTCAGGGTCTCCCACATGGGTGCAGTGTCCCAAGGCTTTGGAATATCCTCTCTGATTTTGCAGGCTGCAAGAAGGGAGCTGGATGGGAAATGGAGCAGTTGAACTGATACCCATGTGGGACCTTGGTGCTTGAAAGGGAGTGGGGATTAGCCTATTGATCCATTCCCCTGGGTCCCACACTTATTATCTATCGTTATTCCCCAGATAGTACGTACTGTTTTCATGGTATCAGGTTCTAAGTACCTTATAGAAGGATGTGTGCTGGTGTTGTGTGCCATTTGATACTATATCATATCTAAGGGACTTGAGCACCCTCTAGCATCAAGAGTCCTGGAACCCATTCCTCATGGGTCCCTAGAAACGACAGTATGTATGCCCTGTAGTAGGGTGGTTTGGGGGCAAACAATATGTAGGACAGAGGCATGTGATGTTTGAGGGTCAGGAAGGACAGAAGTGAATAGGGAACTTCCACACAGGTTGACCCGGAGACAGAGATTGGTGGCATTGTGTTGCGGGAGAGTGCAGCAGGCAGGGGCATAGTCAGTATGAACCACCCGGATGGGCTTGGAGGACATCTGACTGGTGTGATGGAGTAGGGGGATTGTAGAGAGGTGAGGATGGGGCAGCATGCTGTTTCTGCTCTGACCCTTTGTTGCATATGGTCTGCAGGATCTCAAGCCAAGGAACAAGCTCTCCATGCAGCCCCTGAGCTCCAGCTGCTCTGGGGGACCTGGTGTTAGCATGCTGCAGGCAGACCTCAGCAGCCACCTGCTCAGCCGCCAGCCCGGCTTTTCCTATGCTGAGCACAGCCCTGGGGCTTCGCAGACAGACACCAGTCAAGGCTGAGCACAGCATCTGGACTCTTCTGAGCAGTTCACATGGCATCCTCTTGTTTGTCCCCCTAATCCCTCTGGCTCCCAGAGTTAATCCGCCCTACACCCTCACCCCATGAGCTTCTTAGCAGGTCAGTGAGAGCAGCTGGGGCTCGCCTGCTCTTGGGATGGTGTGTTTATGAAGAATTTTCTGCCCCCCTCCTGACACCTTCTCTGCTTCCCCACGCAGTGTTTCTGTGGAGCTTCCTCTCTGCCTTGCTTGCCTCCCAAGCTGCACCTTTTAGGGACTCCCCGTGTGCTGGGGAAATTTCTCTGGGTTCCTCTTGGCCTCCAATTCCTCCCACAGGTACTCACCCTTTTAGTTGTGGCTGTTCCAGCCACAGGAGATGAGTGACAGGAATGAAGAGGTCTGTGGGCAGGGGATCTGGGTATCCCAGGTGGGCAGCAAGAGGCTGAGTGTGTGGGAGCCAGTGGTGGACTTCGCCTCAGCTGACTGTTTCTGCCTGGCCAGCTCAAATCTCACCTCCCACAGGAAGCCTCCCAGACTGCTCCCAGGGGAACCCTGACTTCCTCTATTTCAATTTCATTTTACCCCTTCTGACTCTATAGCCAAAGAACAGGGGCTTTGGTCCTACAGGATTCCCTCTGTCTCTCAGGCTCCTTACCTAAGCCCAGGCCAAAAAATGCTGTGTCTGACATAGGATGGAAGGGGGCGCCTCAGCAAGAACAAGACAACTGGATGATGGCATGGAGAGGGCAGGGAAGTGCTCGCTCCCCCCTCCTCCTGACCCCTGTGTGTTTACCCGTGTTGACCCCGCTGCCTTTTCCGCTCAGCTCAAGATCTCCTTCAGCGAGACAGCCCTGGAGACCACCTATCAATACCCCTCTGAGAGTTCGGTACTGGAGGAGCTGGGCCCGGAGCCCGAGGCCCCCAGTGCTCCCACTGCAGCCCCTGTGGATGATGAAGAGGATGAGGAGGAGCTGCTGCTACTGCAGCCTGGACTCCGTACCAAGGCCCTGATTGTGGGTAAGTGGACGTTCCTCCAGCCCGAGCGTGCCCCCTGGATTTGGAACAGGCACCATGAACCAGCAGGGGACCTGGGAATTTACATGTTGAGGCTTGACTGGGCCAGCCTGCTGGTTACACAGCTGGGGAACCCCAGGTTCTGAGTAGTGATGAGCAAGCTGAGACTCCAGCTACCACTAGGGCCCTTCCTGAATGCTCAGGCTGGTTGTCATGGGCATTGACAGGCTAAGTTCCTGGGAATCCTTGATTGTAGGCCCAACTCCTCTACTTCCTATCCAGCTTTCTGTAATGCATCTGGGAGGCAGCAGGCAGCATGTAGGACGCTGCGTTGGAGCTGCTGCCTTCAGCCCAGTTCACTGGTGGAAGATCTCTCTCTGCCTCTTTGTCTCTATGTCACTCTGTCATAGTAAAGATAAAGCATGAGGGTTGAATCTCTGTCTCTTGCCCTTTTTTCCCTCTCAAATACATAAATAAGTATTTTTTATTATTCAAAAGATGTATTAATTTGAAAGGGAGAGTTACAGAGAGAGGAGACAGATCTTCCATGCGCTGGTTTACTCCCCAAGTGCCTGCAAAGGCTGGAGTTGGGTCAGGCCGAAGCTAGGAGCTCTGAGCTTTTTCCAGGATCCACATATGGGTGCAGGGACTCAGGCACTTGAGCTATCTTCTGCTGCTTTCTCAGGCACATTAGTAGGTAGCTGGATTGGAAGTTGACAGCTGATCCTCAAACTGGTGCTTTGTAGCTGGAGCTATAGATAATGGCTTCACATGTTACTACACAGCACAGACACCTAATAAATAAGAAAGAAAGACTCTTAACTGGATCCATGATGACTGCTATTACTGCTGGTAACAGGCACCCAAGACCTGGAAAATATTATGGGGCTTTCCAGAGCCCAGTTGCCCTTCAGCTCAAGGAAAGAAGGGAACAGAAGCTTTCACTTTCTCATCACTGCCCTCTGTACCACAGATGAGTCCTGCCGGCGGTGACCCCTTCCAACACAGGGACTTTCCTCCCTCCTTCCTGCGCCTGAAGATCCTGGAGCCCAGAAGATTTGGAGCCTACAGATCCTGAGATCATGCCTGGCAGGGAAGAGCAGCCAGTGTCTTCCTGCATCCTGTGTCTGGGGGTCGAGGCAACTGCTCCATTTCCACCCTAAGCCATGGGCTGCAATGTGTGTTGGGGCGGGGCATGGCTCCACCACCCAGTGCATCCTGCAAGATGGAGATGAAGCACTCCACACCATCTCCGTGGCAGGGTACCCCCTCCCTGGAGACTCAGGGTTTACGCACTCACCTCCCTGGGAGGTCCCGACCCCTTCTCCCTACTGGCACGCCAATCTGCCCTCCCCCACTGTGTTTACAGCTCCCACCTCCTCTCTTGACCCCCAGCCTGGTTTACAAATCTCACCAGCCCCACCTGCCAAAGTCCTGGGTTTACAAGCCACGCCCACTTACTGTGTCCATGTGGCATCCTCTTGCCTGTCCCCTCTGTCACTTCACTGGGAATGACAGGGGGATGCTGCTTCCTCCACTCTTGCTCAGTATTATGTGTCTCAGTTTTCCCTAGAGGGGAAGCTGGGAATCTTAGCTGTGGATCCCATGCGAGTGGCCTCACTCTGTTCCCTCTGGTGGGTCACAGCTGAGTGGGGTGACTACAGAGGCGCCTAACCTCTGCTCCCACTGCTCTTTATTTTACCTGGCGGTTTTTAACTTTCCATAATAAACTGGAGTTCTCTCCACCTTGCCTGCTGCTTCTTTACATGGTGGGGGAGGCTGAAGGGGAGGATAATGGTGGGGGATGAACCACAAACTCAGTGCTACTGTGGGCAAGGGGCTCTGCGAAGCTGTTTGCCACAGGATGAAGCGAAGACCGGGAAGGGCAGGTAAAGTGTACGCTGGAGTGCAGGCACTGGGAAGGCTCACCACAATACCCCCACCCATGGCACCAGTCGCTGAATGAGTAGAGCAATAGAACTGTGAACAAAGCAGGGGACACTGGATTGAACATTTTCAGTACTGGGAAGTCTGAGGCAATGTGAGCAGTCCATGTGGCAAATCCACTTGCTGCAGGACTTGGAACCAGGGATAGTCTCCTGAAATCACTGCAGGATTTAGATTTTTTGGGGGGGGTTCTCTCTTTCTTGTTTTTTTAAAGATTTTTTTTTCTTAAAGATTTATGTTTATTGGAAAGACAGATCATCACATTTACAGAGAGACAGAAAGATCTTCCACCTGCAGGTTCACTGTCCAAATAGTCACAGGGCTAGAGCTGAGCCAATCAGAAGCCAGGAGCCAGGAACTTCTGAGTTTCCCATGTGTGTGCAGTTTCCCAAGGCTTTGGGCCGTTCTCTACTGCTTTCCCAGGCCACAAGCAGGGAGCTGGATGGGGAGTGGAGCAGCCAGGACATGGATCAGCGCCCATATGGGATCCTAGCACTTGCAAGGTGAGGATTTAGCCATTGCACCTGGCCACTTTTTAAAGATTTATTTATTTTTATGGGAAAATCAGACTTACAAGAGAGGAGAGACAGAAAAATATTCCATCCACTGGCTCACTCCCATTTCAAATGGGTGCAGTGATCAGAGTCAAGCCAATCCTAAGCCAGCAGCCAGGAGCTTCTCTTCGGTTCTCCCACATGGATGAGGGTCCCAAGGCACTGGGCCATTTTAGGCTACTCTCCCTGGCAAGAAGCAGGGAGCTGGATGAGAAGTGGAGCGGCGAGCATACTAACCAGAGCCCATATGGAATCCCAGCACTTGGAGCTGGAGAATTAGCCAGTTAAGTCAATACATCGGTCTTTGAAGGATTTGGTTTTTACAGAAGTGTGATGGAAAAGGTTTTCTTCTGAAAGGCAATGGATTTTTTTTAAAGGATTTATTCTTATTTTTATTACAAAGTCAGATATACAGAGAGAAGAAGAGACAGAGAGGAAGAGCTTCTGTTCAATGGCTTACTCCCCAAGTGACCACAATGGCCAGTGCAGTGCTGATTTGAAGCCAGGAGCCAGGAACTTCCTCCAGGTCTCCCATGTGGGTGCAGGTCCCAAGGCTTTGACTGCTTTCCCAGGCCACAAACAGGGAGCTGGATGGGAAGTGTAGCTTCTGGGACTAGAATTGGTGCTCATATGGGATCCCAGGGCATTCAAGGCAAGGACTTTAGCCACTAGGTCATTGTGCTGTGCCAGGATTTTAGTTTGTGCTGCTCAACTATAGTTTGTTATTAGGAGATTTTGCCATTTCAAAGAATCTTCTACAAAGAACATCTCTGTACTCATTATGTGTTTTTTAAATCAGTATTTTGAACTTTTTATTTTATCTGAGAAAGAGATCTTTCATCCACTTGTTCATTCCCAAAGTGTTTGCAATAACTTGGGTGGCAGGGACTCATCGACCGCTACCATACTCGGTACATCTCAGGGTAGGAGTGAGAATCTGCAGTAGAGCTGAGACAAACTCGGGCATTCCAGTATGGGTTGTGGATAGCCCACGTCTTATCTGTTGTCCCAAACAACTGCTTCCAAAGGTCTTTGATTTACTAGGAAGGCCACAGCAAGGTTTCCAAAAAGTTCAGTAAAGGTACAGCTTTAGGGGGAAGTGGAGTGGCTATGTCAGCAGTTAATTAGGTAAAAATTCTGTCTGTTGTGACCCCAGAAAGCAGAGGTAGGAGGAAACTGATATCTTGGGGTGCCACAGTCCACCTCAGAAACAGAAAATAGTATGTTCAAGGATCTTACTGAACCAACTCTGGCTGTTACTTGTAATAACAATGTTTGCTTCCTACCAGTAGTGTCTAATTAGTCATAGGCACGTGAGGTGGGGTAAAACAGAGGTCAGGCAGCAGAGCCTCAAGTAACAAGCTCAGCTTATCTCTTAAGATTTATTTATTTATTTGTCTGAAAGGCAAAGTTACAGAGACGGGGATATGAAGAGATAGAGAGATCTTTCATCCATTCCTTCATGCTTGAAATGCCTCCAACGGCTTGGGCTGGACCACGCAGAAGCCAAGAGCTTCTTTAAGGTCTCTCACGTTGGTGCAGGGCCCAGTCAGCCCATCCTCTGCTGCTTTCCTGATTGTATTAGAAGGGAGCTGGATCAGAAGCACATCAGCCAGGATACAAACCAGATGCAGGCAGTAGCTTAACCTGCTAACACAGCCTACTCAGCTTATCTGTAAAGAAACAGTCACCAAAGAATTTGTGAAACTGAGAGCAAAAATTCTCAGAACACATTTTGCCTGTTTTGGAGCTTTTCTCTCTCTTTTTCTTTCTTTCTTTCTTTTTTTTTTTTTTTTAACAGTTTTTCCCAATTCCCAAATTTCCTCCTGCTTGGGAGTGTTTCCTTATATCTAACCTATATTCACTCGTTTTTTTCTTTTAAAACTTTTTGTGATTTTTTTTTTTTCATTAGAAAGGCAGATACACAGAGAGGAGGAGGGACAGAAAGGAAAATCCTCCATCTGCTGATTCACTCCCCAAGCGGCTGCAATGGCCAGAGCTGAGCCAATTCAAAGCCAGGAGCCTCCTCCAGCTCTCCCATGCAGGTGCAGGGTCCCAAGGTCCTGGGTCATCACCCACTGCCCTCCCAGGCCACAAGCAGGGAGCTGGATGGGAAGCGGGGCTGCCAGGACACAATCCATGCCACATGGGATCCTGACACTCTCAAGGCAAGGACTTTAGTCTCTATGACATCACACTGGGTCCCACTCCTTTTTCTTATTTTTTTAATTTTTAACTTTTATTTTTTAAATTAATAATTTAATATTTAAAATTAATATTTTGTTTTGATAATCTTTATATAGTTGATTAGAGTACAAAGTGTCAAAAGCTACAGGAAAGTGGATAAGACCATTGTTTCCACATTCTCTCTCTCTCTTTTTTTCTGTATCTGGGGCAAGAGGGGAGATAAAGGGAGAAGCCCCACCCAGCCTCCCGCCCATCCCAGTGTCTCCAATGTGGGGCATGCTCTGAGCACATTGCCCAAGTGGTTTTGATAGTTCAACAGTTCTGAATTGCTGCCAATCTCACCATTCCAAGCACAATGAAATCACTCCAGAATCCACTGGCCAATATAGTTTACTTTAGAATCTCCGTTTGCCCAAATTTTTTTTTTTGCCAACACATCTATTGGGTAGCTGGTTGATATGTTCCATCCTCCATCCTGTGTTGTGATACCAGGTGTCTCTGCAGGTTCCAATAGACCATTATATCTTCCGTGTGCACCTGGGTCTGCCGTCCACTGCTCCATCTGAGCCACTGTGGAGGCTGAGCTTTGACACATGCACTCCATGATCAGACCATGGAACCTGCACTTCTCTTCTGAGTCCAGCAGTTCAGTTGGAGAGATCCAAAAAAGAAACTTCATCTGAGGTGATCCCAGACCTTTTTCTTGTGTGTGCATGCTAGGACAGTGTCTGGCACAGTCTCTCACCCCAATCAGCCTATACATATGCCGGTGGTTGCAATTGGTAGGTCAGTTCTGCCTCTAGGCCACCACGCCGGGCCCCACTCCTTTTTCTTTTTATAAATTTTATAAATATTTTATTTGTTTTTATTGGACAGTTGGATATACAGAGAGGAGGAGAGAGAGAAAGATCTTCCATCTGTTGAGTCACTCCCCACATGACCGCAACAGCTGGAGGTGAGCTGAGTAAAAGCCAGGGGCCAGCAATTTCTTCTAGGTTTCCCATATGGGTGCAGGGCCATCCTCCACTGCTTTCTCAGGTCACAAAAAGCAGGGAGCTGGAAAGTAAATGAAACAGCAGGGACATGAGCTGGCATCCATATGCGATATTGGCGCTTGCAGAAGGAGAGTTAGCCAGTTGAGCTATTGTGCCAGCCCCCCCTACTCTTCCTGCAGATACCAGTCCTAACCATTCACTCCTAGTCAGTACCTGCTAATCTTTCATAGCGTAGGCCTGATCTTCCGATTTGAAATAGCATGTGTTCTCATTCCTTGAATTATTTTAGGTTCCGTAGAAATTACATATTTTTATTTATTATGTAGTTTGTCTTGTTGAATTCTGAATGTAAACTAGTTATTTTTTCTAATTTGGTGTCTATCCGGAGCAGTTTAAATTGTACTAAGCTCACATTTTGTAGGCGCTGATTGAATTCTCGTTTGTTGGATGAATGAGTTAGTGAGGCCTCCACTGAGTTCATTTCATTCGTAGAATGAATGACCTAGCGATGCCTCCACGGACCATCAGGGGGAGACAGGGAAACTTCGTGGAGAAGGCAAATGTGCCGCCCAGACAATGAGCAAAGTTTGAACGCATTCGGCCTCCGTCCCGCTCAGGCCGGAAACGTGCCTCCTCTTCCGGGCTCCAGGAAGGCGGTTTCGGACTGTTGGAAAGCGAACTCGGAGGTTCTGAGGCAGCTCCGTGGAGCGTCGGAGGCTCCGGGCCCGGGGCGCCAGGGCTCCAAGCCTCCGGCAGGCCCGGCCGCCAGCGCGGCTGCTCCGGAGGCTCCAGGGCTAGCGCCGGGCTTCGCCATGGCGACGCCGGCCGGCCTGGAGCGCTGGGTGCAGGAGGAGCTGCACTCGGTGCTGGGGCTCAGCGAGCGGCATGTGGCCCAGTTCCTGATCGGAACCGCGCAGCGCTGCGCCTCGGCCGAGGAGTTCGTGCAGCGCCTGCGAGACACCGAGACGCTGGACCTGGGCGGGCCAGCCCGGGACTTCGCCCTGAGACTGTGGAGCAAGGTGTCAGGAGGGGGGCGGGACCCCGGGTGGGCCGGTCCCGGGGAGCCGAGCTCACCTGGCGCACCAGAGCCCAGCGACTAGAGCCGGCTCGGTGGTGCACAGCCTCCGGGAAGGCCCTGCGTGGACTGCTGGGTTGCATGCTGTGATAGAGCCGTGTTTGTCCAACTTGCACGTGGGTCAGGATGATCCGTGGCCCTTGGAAAGATGCTCTGAACAGTGGGGGGCGGTGGGAGAGACGTAGCCAACCCACTGCAGGTGTTGGTGGTGGTCAGGACGCTTAGGTCTCAAGATGCCCTGGAATGTGTCAGGTCGTGAAGGGTCGGGAGTGAAGGCGTAAGTGACGAGCCCCTGGAGGACTGTGACTGTCTTGTTGTGTTTTTCGTTCTTGATATGATCTCCATAGCTGTACACCGAGCGAAGGAATCTCAGATAGTAGCTAGGCTGCTGGGTGGCTGTCACATGTGGTGCCTCGTGGATTTGGTCCCCAGTCCCCAACGTGTCCCATCTACATGTGACAGGTGGCTGGCAATGTAAAATAACCCAGTAACCCTTGTGCATCACTTCCTGTGTGAGAATGACGGAATATTTGGAAAAAACCAGTGCTACGAGAAAGTGTCCAGACAGCTGAAACTGAGCTCAGCATTGCAAGCTCTGTGAGGGCAGGGATTTTTTTTTTTTTTTAAGATTTATTTATTTCACTTGAAATAATTAGAGCGAGGAAGACACGGGAAAAGATATCATTCACTGGTTCACTCCCCATATGACTGCCATTTCCAAAACTGGGCCAGTCTGAAGCCAGGAACTACTTCTGGGTCTCCCACGTGGAGGCAAGGACCCAAGGACCCCACTGCTTTCCCAGGCTACTAGCTGGGAGCTAGATCAGAAGTAGAGCAATCAGGACACAGACCAGCACCTCTATGGGATGCTAGCAGTGCTGGTGGTGGATTAGCTTGGTAAACCACCATGTTGGCCCCAATAATTTTTGTTTACTTTTTTTCTTTTTAATATTATTTACATGGTTGAGAGAGATGCAGGATCATGTGGGCCTCCAATTAGGTGGGAAGGGTCAGGTATGGAGGAACGTGGGTGGGACAAATTTTTCAGTTTTTTTTTTTTTTTCCTTTCTGTGTCCTTAGAGGAGGAAGGGGAGAGGGCCACTCCTTTCTGTAAAACTACATCAGCACCCAGAGGTGAAAGGTTTTGATGATGCCCCAGAGACCCTGATATGAGGAAGAATGTTCTGAGGGAGTTACTTGAGTGGTTTTGATAATTTTGAGACTGTCAGTTTCATTGCTCCATGGTTGAGAAAATCTTTCTAAGATCTACTGGTTGACAGAGTCCACCTTAGTGCACCCCCAGGCCCAGGAACATGCTGCAAAGCTTGGCCAGGAAAATGGTCCAGGCTGTTCTCTGACAAGGCAGTTGACGTCCCCTGCTGGCCTAGATGAACTGGCTCTCATGTGCCCTGTGTACATGTGGGCATGTTGTCCACTGCATAGGCATCAGCAACTGAGAGGCCCAGTCCTCATACATGCATTCCAGGTCAGATCACACATCCTGTGATTCTTCCCTGTGGCCAGGATCTGAGTCCAGCGGTTCAGTTGGGGAGTCCCCAGGAAACTTGCCTGCAGTGACCTCAGACTAGACCCTTGTGTGCACCAGCCAGAATAGAGTCAGGTGCAGTGTGTCACTGGGCAGCCAGTGCTCATACTGGTGGATGCAGCTATCTGATTAGTTGCGCTCCAGCCCTATATCTCACATCAACTGATGGGGGCTGTGGCCCAGGCCAACCAACCCACCATACATTCCATCCTCACACATATGACCAAAGTGCCTGGCTACTACATGACACATGGGACAGGGGTCAGTAAACATTCCATAAAAGTGAATGAATGAGGGCCCAGTACGATGACTCAGTGGCTAAATCCTCACCTTGCAACCACTGGGATCTCATATGGGTACTGGCTCGTGTTCTAGCTGCTGCATTTCCCATCCAGCTCTCCACTTGTGTCCTGGGAAAGCAGTAGAGGACAAACCAAAGTCTTGGGACCCTGACTTGAAAGAGGCCTCTGACTCCTGGCTTTGGATCAGCTCAGCTCTGGCTGTTGGGGTAACTTGCAGAGTGAATCAGCAGATGGAAGATTTTTCTGTCTCTCTTTGTAAATCTGCCTTTCCAATAAAGCCAAATAAATCTTTAAAAAGAAAAAAAAAAAAAAACAACCACACGTGAATTCCTGAATTCCTGAAAGGAAGTTCATTAGCTGAGGTACTCTGTTGAGAGGAGAATGAGGTGACGTCATGGGGAAAAAAAGGAATGAAGACTGACTTAAGATCAAGTGGTTCCTTACTGCAGTGACCGAGCCGCGTCTGTGAGCAGGGCTGGAGCCATTCACACTCCCTTTCCTTCTCCCTCGCTGACAGGTCCCGCGCAAGGCTGTGGTGGAAAAACCAGCTCGGGTGGCAGAGCGAGAGGCCCGAGCCCTCCTGGAGAAGAACCGATCGTACAAGCTGCTGGAAGACAGTGAAGAGAGCAGCGAGGAGGCTGTGGGCAAGTCTGGGAGCAGCCTCCAGAAGAAGCGCAAGAAACGCAAACACCTTCGGAAGAAACGCCAGGAGGAGGAAGACGAGGAGGAGGAAGAAGAGGCTTCTGACAAAGACAAGAGGAAGGTGGAGTAAGTCCAAAGCAGGGCTGGAGGAGAGGAGAGGCGGCTTATGGCATACTGGGTCTTGGGGAGGCCCTGAGTGAATGTGTCGGACCGGGCTGCAGGGGGAGTAAGGCGCAGGCGGAGAAGCCCGAATCCGAGGATGAGTGGGAGCGGACAGAGCGTGAGCGCCTGCAGGACCTGGAGGAACGCGATGCCTTTGCCGAGCGGGTACGGCAGCGGGACAAGGATCGCACCCGCAACGTCCTGGAGCGGTCGGACAAGAAGGTAGGAGCCGCCACCTCCGTGCATCGGCAGCATTCCTGGCTGAAACCCGGAATTGGTCCTGACGATAGGGACAAAGGCTGGGCGGAAAGCCAGGTGCCTCTTGGCTATTCATACAGCCGTAGAGGTATCCCCACTGAGGGCATGTTTTCTTGGGCTGGGGTACTTCCAAAGAGGCTTGGAATTTAGAGGGGACAGTGAGGGTGGGAAGACTTTCTGGGCTCAAACCCTCCACATTGGGTTCCTCTTCCAGGCTTATGAGGAGGCTCAGAAACGCCTCAAGATGGCGGAGGAAGATCGGAAAGCCATGGTGAGTGCTGGGGCCTGGGAGGCCATGATTAATAATGCCAGGAGAGATCTTCTGACGGAGGAGTGGTTGGGTACAGGGCGAGGGGCATGAAGTGTACTAGGGGCGGGAGGGGCGTCTGGTCTCGGAGAAGGGGCTTGGTGTAGGAGCTTCACTTGCAGAGGGAGGGAGGTACCCCTAGACCTCCGTGGTGCTGCGCATCGTGGTGGCTGTTAGGGAAGGCAATGTGAGCTCTTCAGTTTTGGAGGCTTCCTGATGTAAGGCAGGCAAGTGTTGTCAGGGTGTGGCCGGGCAGAGGGGCAGGGCTGCTGTCCTTCCTTCAACCTGGAGATGTGCTGGCCCTGTGGCTTAGACAACTGTCTCCAGGTGACAATTCATGAGAGGAGCCCTTTTTTTTTTTTTTAATATTTATTGATTTATTTGAAAGACAGAGAGAGATCATCTGTCTGCTGGTTCACTCCTTCCATGGCTACAACAGGCAGGGTTGGCTGGTCTAAAACCAGGAGCCTGAATCTTCATCTGAGTCTACCATGTGGGTAGCAGTGCCCCAAGCACTTGAATGCTCATCCATTGCTTTCTCACACCTGCTTGTCAGGAAGGTTCCCTCCTAGGAGTAGGTAGAGAAATGCGTCCATGCACCAGCCAGGGGACCTGCTGAGAGCCCTTTCCTGACCCAGGTGCCTGAGCTACGCAAGAAATCCCGCCGAGAATACCTGGCAAAGCGAGAACGGGAGAAGCTGGAAGACCTTGAAGCAGAGCTGGCAGATGAGGAGTTCCTGTTCGGGGACGTGGAACTGAGCCGCCATGAGCGGCGTGAACTCAGATACAAGCGGCAAGTGCGGGACCTGGCCCGGGAGTATCGGGCTGCTGGGGAGCAGGAGAGACTGGAGGCCACCAATCGCTACCACATGCCCCAGGAGACCCGAGGGCAGGTGAGGCAATGCGGTGTCTGCATCTGTTCAGGCCCTCAACCGGGGCAGGAGGGCTTTAGGGGGTGGGCCAGTGCCTTGGCAGTCCCCTCTGCCCTGCTCTTCTCTGAGGAGGAGCAGTGACAGGGCAGGTGGGTCGGGCTCTATCTTCAGATCTTCACATGCCCTTCTCTTTGCAGCCAGCCCGAGCAGTGGATCTCGTTGAGGAGGAATCGGGTGCCCCTGGCGAGGAGCAGCGGCGCTGGGAGGAGGCCCGCCTGGGGGCAGCATCCCTCAAGTTTGGGGCCCGTGATGCGGCCTCCCAAGAGCCCAAGTATCAGCTGGTGCTAGAGGAGGAGGAGACCATCGAGTTTGTCCGGGCCACTCAACTCCAGGGTGACAAGGTGAGAGAGGGCTCTGGAGGGCGTCCCAAGGAGGCTCTGAGGTCTTCTGCCAAGCTCACAGCCTGCCTTCTACTCCCCTAGGAGCCGGCTACCCCGCCGCCTTCCACCCAGGCTCAGCAGAGGGAGTCCATCCAGGCCGTGCGCTGCAGCCTCCCCGTGTTCCCGTTTCGCGAGGAGCTCCTGGCAGCCATTGCTGACCATCAGATCCTCATCATTGAGGGCGAGACTGGCTCGGGGAAGACGACTCAGATTCCGCAGTACCTGTATGAGGAGGTACTGTCACCACACCCTCAGGCTGCTGGTTTGGCAGGGCTCCTGGGGCATAACCCCAAGTGGTTGTTTTCCCTGTCTTTCCCACTAAATCGTGAAGCTTGTGAGGATCTAGAACTTGTCACATGTGCCTTCTCACTGCCTGCCACAGTGTCAGCACCTGGAATGGGTTTGGTACCTTTAGCTTGGATGGACGGGTAGCTGGATAGGTGGGGTGCTGTATGTTGTGTACACAAAGACCTGCCCCAAATCCAACCCCACTGGGCCTCTGCCCCACTGCAGGGGCTGACGAATGAGGAGTTAAAGGGCTTGTTTTCCTGTTTTATTTTGTGTTCCTCATTGCTTCTGGGTCTCCCTGCGCGAATCTGCCCTTTTCTAGCTCAAGACTAATAGCACCCTGAATTTGATGACTCAGAGCTCGGAGTGACAGGGCAGGATGAGGCCCCCTTGGGGCTCCAAATCTGTCTGCCTGTCTGTTTGCCCCTCTTTCCTGGTTTGCAGCTTCTGCTTGTTCCTCCCTTTTCCCCTGCCCTTCCTGGCTGTTACGACTTTGAATTGTGGCTGGGACTCAGGGGACACATGTAGCAAAAGGAAAATCTCTTCTTTCTCTTGTCAATCAGGGCTACACGAAGAACGGCATGAAGATTGCCTGCACCCAGCCCCGGAGAGTGGCGGCCATGAGCGTGGCTGCTCGGGTGGCCCGGGAGATGGGTGTGAAGCTTGGGAATGAGGTGAGTTCTTCTGTGGCAGGGGAGATGGGCTGCAGGATGAGGGTAGTCATAGGGTCTGGAGCTCAGGCTATACGTGCCTTGGGGAGCCCCACAGCACAGATTCAGGGGCTCCCCACCTGCTGTTTCCTGAATTCCCTTCAGAGAACCCTATCGCGCTCTGAGACACTAGTGACTTTCTTGCTCAGGTTGGCTATAGCATCCGCTTTGAAGATTGTACGTCGGAGCGAACTGTCCTGCGCTACATGACAGATGGGATGCTTCTCCGGGAATTCCTCTCTGAACCAGATCTGGCGAGTTACAGGTGTGCGCCGGGCCTACCTCCCTGGAACAGCCCCCTGCCTTCCCTCGCTGAGTTCTGCTGCCCCCTGCCTGTCAGTGTCCATTAATCTCTAGGTTCGTTCTCTCTCAAGATTTATTATTTGAAAGAATTACAGAAAGAGGTAGAGAGACAGAGAGTGAGGTCTTCCAGGAGTGAGGTTCATTCTTCAAATGGCTACAATGACTGGAGTTGGGCCAGTCTGAAGCCAGGAGCCCAGAGCTTCTTCCAGGCCTCCCATGTGAATGGCTGGGGCCCAAATGCTTAGGCCATCTTCCACTGTTTTTCCAAGTGCATTATCAGGGAGCTGGGTGGGAAGTAGAGTCAGGACTGCAACTGGTGCCCAATGGGATGCTAATGTTGCAGGCAGTGGCTTAACCAAGTACAAGTTTATGGGGATTCCAGATGGCATGGGAAGGCTTCCCTGAAGATACTCGGGGTGTTCATCCTAGCGAGGAGAAGCTCAGGGGAAACATCCTGGTTGCCTTGAGATATGTGAGGGGCTGTTAACATAAAAAGAGATCTAGGACTTGTTTTATGTGCAGGCACAACTGAAAACACAGGGGAATTTATAAGGCGGTAGATTCAGTTCAGTGCCGAGAGCCATGTCTGAGGCCATTGGTGCTCAGCCTGACTCTGTCCTGGGCCCAAGCCTTGGGCTGGCTGGGCCGTGGCTAGAAAGCTCTCACTGCTGGGAATGGAGAAGCAGAACTGACAGAAGAAATGTTGCAGAGGAGAAGGGAGCATCCTGGGATGGGAGTGGGGTCAGGCCAGCCGAGCATCAGTGTGTGCTTTTTCAACTCCTTTGAAGCTGTCTATTTCTAGTCCTGGAAGAGGCTGAGAGTAGGGTTTGTCCCTTAAGCCAGCCTGATGGGTGACATGGCAAGCACTCTGCCACAATTGGGAGTCGGCAGAATTGAGGCAGGAGCAGAAGAGCTCCCAAAGTTCATCTTTTCTATGTGTCAGAAAACGAAAGAATAGAGAAAGGAGAAGGAAGGCAGGCCACACAAGTTAGGAGGCAACTCGGGGTCCTGAAGGGTCTTCCGAGGGCTGGGATGGAAAGGCCCGCCTTCACTCATGAAGAGCCAGACCCCACAGGGACCCATGGGCGCAGCAGCGCCCCAGGAGCCTGAGAGCCACTGGGCTCTTCACCATCCTCAGCCAGCCTCATTCAAAGCAGCCCTGCCCTGTTGTTGTTTCTTTTAAAGCATAAGCTTCCTTCTGCTTGCTCTAACAAGAATGGCTACTTCTCTGACTACATCTGGAAGGGCTCTCTGACTTGTCCAGGCCTCAGCTTCAGCCCCTGCGTCTTGGCTGCTTTCGTGTCCTGAGGCTGAGTTAGCCTGCAGACACGGGGCCCAAGCCTCCCCTAACTTTCTGTCGATTCTATGTAGCTGGGATGCTTTAGCTTTTCTCCATAGAATTCCTACTGCCCACATTCACACTGGAGCTCTGCTTCCAGCCCAGCCCTCTCACCCACGGACCTGTGTCCATTCTCACATTTCCCATTCCCCTCTTCCCTCACTGCTCCCCTTTCCTACCCTAGCGTAGTGATGGTGGATGAAGCTCACGAACGGACCCTGCACACAGACATTCTCTTTGGGTTGATCAAGGATGTCGCTCGCTTCCGACCAGAGCTCAAGGTTCTCGTGGCTTCTGCCACACTGGACACAGCCCGATTTTCTACCTTCTTTGATGACGCCCCCATCTTCCGGATTCCTGGACGCAGGTTTCCTGTTGACATCTTCTATACCAAGGTACCCTGCTTGGGGAGGATGAGCTTGAGTCTGAGGTGGAGAAACCCTGGGGCCTTGGAAGTGGCTGTCCCTGGGAGTAGGGGGCCAGGAGGAGAGGAAATGTATCCTGAGTCGGTGGCCCTCCTGTGACTGTGTCTCTGTCCCACCCAGGCTCCTGAGGCTGACTACCTGGAAGCCTGTGTTGTGTCAGTGCTGCAGATCCACGTGACACAGCCCCCTGGGGATATCCTGGTATTCCTGACAGGACAGGTGTGTGATGTGCAGGGGTGGGGGTATCCAGGGCAGGACAGGGTTGGCACCTGGGTCTTTGGTGACTCTGGAACCCCTGCTGCTCTCCCCCCAATCCAGGAGGAAATTGAGGCTGCCTGTGAGATGCTCCAGGATCGCTGCCGCCGCCTGGGCTCCAAGATCCGGGAGCTCCTGGTGCTGCCCATTTATGCCAACCTGCCCTCTGACATGCAGGCTCGTATCTTCCAGCCCACGCCCCCTGGGGCACGAAAGGTCAGTTGGAGAAAGCCACGTTCTGCACCCCTTGTTGCGCAAATGGTAGTGCAAAGGGAGGCGTGTTCCTGCCCCGTACTGGGTGTGTCCTGCCCTGCGCAGACACAGACTAAGGAGCAGCCAACCCCTCTCCTGCAGGACTGGAGAGGAAGGGTGAATACAGCAGGCACCAAGGGAGAGCTGAATGCATAGTGCAGACAGCAAGTGCTGCAGAGAAGGGAAGCCCTTGCTGTGACAGGAAGAAGGGTGCGATATGGACCTTTAACAAAACTATCTGGAAGCATGTCACAGGAAGGCCAAGGTGTGGCTGAGGTCGGCCCATGAACCTCGCGTACTGAGGTGGTTGGAGACTGAGGTTAGGAGGGCCTTTGACGGCTGGTGCAAGAGTTTGGGCTATCAACACTTCAGTGGCAAAAAGGAAGTTTGAGCAGAGCTGTAAGTTTCATTCAACTATATTTATTTAAATACAGTATTTTTATTTGAAAGGTAGAGTTTAGAGAGAGGGAGGGACAGAAAGGTCTGTTATTTGCTGATTCAATACCAAGGTGGCTACAGTGGCTAGGGTCGGTCCAAGCCAATAGCATCTTCTCTGTCTCCAAGCACTTGGAGCTTGGAGACAGAGGGGCCCAAGCACTTGAGCCATTGTCTGCTGCTTTTCCAGGTATGTAAGTCGGGAGCTGCATTAGTGGCTTAATCCTCATGCAATAGTGCTAGCCCCATCAAAAAAATACAGTGAGTTCCCCCTGTATCCCAAATATGTTCTAGGGGCTTAGGTCACAGTGATGGACAAAACAAAATCCTTGGCCTCACAGAACCCATAATCTAATGGGAGGAGACAGCAGACACACTAATACCTGATGTCTACTCCTGGCAAGTGCTGTGCAGAGGTGCAAGGCAGCATGGAAATTATGGAAATTGTGTAGGAGTGAGAACAGGAAAAGGGCACTCTCCTTACAATATTGGGAGGGCCTCTCCAAGCAGGGACAAGTAGAGCAGAGACCTGAGCCAGCTGTGGGAGGGAGTCAGGATGCTGTGTGGAGCTGAGATCAGGCAGGTAGCCAGGATCCAGAGGACCCAAGCCCTTAACGACCTTGGATTCATTTCTAGAGCAGGAGGGAAGCTGTTATAGGGGATGGGAGAGTGGTGTGACAGGTTCACATTTGTTTATTTGGAAAGCAGAGCCATTTCTCTGATGCTTCCAGTGGCAGGGCCTGGGCTGAAGCTGTGAGCTGCAAATAAAATCCAGGTCTTCCGTGTGGGTTGCAGGAACCCAGTCATATGTCCCAGGGTCTGCAATGGCAGGAAGCTGGAGTCATTGAACCCAGCCTCTGGTATAGGATGTGAGCTTCTTAACTGCTTGACTCAGTCCTATTCCAGGATTAGAACCGGCACCCATATGGGATCCCGGCACGTTCAAGGTGAGGACTTTAGCCACTAGGCCACTCCGCTGGGCCCTCCAGGGTTACTTTTTAGAAGGACCGTATGGCTGCCATGTGATAGGAGCTAGTAGAAGTAGGGAGCTCTGTTAGGCAGGCATTGCAGGAAGTGATACAGTGAAGAAAATCATTAAGGTGGTAGTGGGGAAGTGAGGGCTGGGACCTGTATATTTCTACCTCCTATCTCTGAAAAAAGCACTAAGTCCTCTTTCCTTCTTTCCCTTATTAGGCCCTTGCTGACTCTCCCCTCCTTTTTCTCTCACACTTCTACTGGCTTTACTGTCCCTGTTTTTCCACTCCTAGCTTGTCAGGATTACTTTTTATGAGTGACCCTGTGCCCTCTCTTTTAGGTGGTTGTGGCAACAAACATAGCCGAGACATCGCTGACCATTGAGGGCATCATTTATGTGCTGGATCCAGGGTTCTGTAAGCAAAAGAGCTACAATCCCCGCACAGGCATGGAGTCCCTCACTGTCACACCTTGTAGCAAGGTCAGCCTGGGTTTCTGCTGGGTGGAGAGAAGTAGAGTTGTCCTCCAGGGAGGGTCAGGCCAGAAGTAGTTTCTTAGAATGTTGGGACAAGCAGTCTGCTTATGTCAACACTCAGATTGTCAGGTAGCCTCTCCTTTTCCTCCAGGCCTCAGCTAATCAGCGAGCTGGCCGTGCAGGCCGTGTAGCTGCAGGGAAGTGCTTCCGGCTGTATACCGCCTGGGCCTATCAGCATGAGCTTGAGGAAACCACAGTGCCCGAGATCCAGAGGACCAGTTTGGGCAATGTTGTGCTGCTACTCAAAAGCTTAGGTGATTGGGCTACACCTGGTTGTCTCAAGTGGAGGGAGCTGGGGGCTGGAGTGCATGGTCCTTGGGAAGAAAGGGCCCTGTTCCATTTTCACATCCTTTTCCAGGGATTCATGACCTCATGCACTTTGATTTTCTGGATCCGCCACCATATGAGACCCTGCTGCTGGCTCTGGAGCAGCTGTATGCTCTAGGAGCCCTCAATCACCTTGGGGAGCTCACCACGGTGAGACAGGAAGGCAGGGTGCATTGGGGGTGTGCCAGAGGGTTGGGGGTGACCCTGGGGATCCCTGGGGTGGTGGAGGGATACCTGAGTGAGCATTGGCTCCAATTGTCTCTTTAGTCTGGTCGAAAGATGGCAGAGCTGCCAGTGGACCCCATGCTGTCCAAAATGATCTTGGCCTCTGAGAAGTAAGTGCCCCCTCCTCACACTGCCCTTGGGTCCCAGCACAGGAGCTGGCTGTGTCCCCCGTTTCCAAGGCCTTCTATTTCTCCATGATATTTTCCTCAGAAGTCCCCAGTGGGTATCCCACCTGAAAAAGTCCCCACCTCCTTGCCCCCATGCTGTAATTGCTGCTGTTCAAACCCATCTGCTGTGTCATCTACAGCCGTCATCCCGGCTGGCCTCCCAGTGAGAAGCCCTTCATACACAGCCACTATGCGCTTCACCGTGTCTGCTCCTGTCTTGCTTTGAAGCGTCCTGCCTTTCCCTTCTTGGCACAGGTACGGCTGTTCTGAGGAGATCCTAACAGTGGCTGCCATGCTCTCTGTTAACAACTCCATCTTCTACCGACCCAAAGACAAGGTTGTCCATGCTGACAATGCCCGCGTCAACTTCTACCTCCCTGGTGGAGACCATCTGGCTCTGCTAAACGTCTACACACAGGTCACTGGGTTGGGCAAGTGGGGCTGAGGGAGTCGAGCCGTGCAGTGGACCTGCTATCCACTAATGTGCTGCTCTTTCTCTTTAACTCTCCTCATAGTGGGCTGAGAGCGGCTACTCTTCCCAGTGGTGCTATGAAAACTTTGTCCAGTTCAGATCTATGCGCCGAGCCAGGGATGTGCGGGAACAGCTGGAAGGGCTCTTGGAACGTGTGGAAGTTGGTCTCAGTTCCTGCCAGGGAGACTATGTCCGTGTTCGCAAGGTCGGCATTTCTTCAGTCTGCTGATGTACCCCATGCTTCCCAGGGACCAGGCCTCCCCTCTGGGGCCACGCCATGGTTATAGCCCGAGGCACACTCTCTTCCTCCCGTGCAAATCTTGTCTCTTGAGCTGTCTTGCCCAGACCACCCAAAGTGCGTTCTTACTGAGCTCTTTGGGCATTTCTTACCGTGCTAGTTCTCCAGAAACCTGAACGGTAGAGGAAGTGAGCCTCAAGTGCCTGGGCGACTGTGCTCTGCATTGACTGTTTCCTGCCTACTCCTTAGGCCATCACCGCTGGTTACTTCTACCACACGGCACGGCTGACCCGTAGCGGCTACCGCACAGTGAAACAGCAGCAGACAGTGTTCATCCACCCCAACTCCTCCCTCTTCGAGCAACAGCCACGTTGGCTGCTCTATCATGAACTGGTCTTGACCACCAAGGAGTTCATGAGACAGGTGAGGGGACCATGCTTACCCTGGTAGGCAGACCATGTGAGGGTGGGAATGTCCCAAAAAGTTGAGAACTCCGGATCAAGCTACTGAGAGAAAACTGGAAGATATGTTGGTCTGGCCTAAGGCAGGCTAAAATAGCAGCAGGATCCTTTCTAATAGCTGGTTCCATGTCTTCTGAGATCTGAGAGCTATAATTGGGTGCGTGCTTCTGTGTTTTAGGCCCTAGGGCTGTAATGAACAGAGCAGATGGAGTCTCCATAGTGTGTACTTTACATCCTCACACTCCAGGCTTTTCTCAGGGTTAGCCCACTTGATATCTAGAGTAACCCGTGGAGCTGTCTGTCCTGAGAGTATAACTGGAAGCATACACCTTTTACTCAGGCCCTGTAGTTGCTGGACAGAAGGGAACTCACTGATCCTGTCTCTTTTCTTCTAGGTTTTGGAGATTGAGAGCAGCTGGCTTCTGGAAGTGGCTCCTCACTATTATAAAGCCAAGGAGCTAGAAGATCCCCATTCTAAAAAAATGCCGAAAACAGTAGGCAAGACCCGAGAAGAATTAGGGTAGAGAAGGGGACATAAATAGAACTTGACACCAGCTCCTTTTCCTTCTGTATATTATTTAATATCTATTAAATAAAATTATTTTTTGAATAAAACCTGTGGGAACTTCTGAGATCCAGAGATATTCCATCTCATATAGTCACTTTATTATTTACAAGTTAAATTACACAGCAGCTTTACACAGCATGAGATGGGAAGGAAGAGGGGAGAGGAGGAAGCTGGCTCGGGGGTTCTCGCTGCTTCCACCTCTCTTGTGCGTAGCAGTCCTCAGTGCTGTCCTCATCCCAGTTCCCGGGTCAGGCCTTGGAACACAGGTTTAGGTTGGGCTCTGGCTCTGACAGCCCCAGGGCCACCAGGGCTCCCATTAGCAGCTTCTTCACGGGTGCAGGAGGCGCGTGTGAAGGCATCAGCTGCAAGGAGACAGGTTAGTGCCACTTGGGGGGAAGTACTTGGCTCTTCTACCCTTTATTTCCACCCAGCCCTGGAACTCACTTTGTCTAGGTGATGGCGACAGATGAGGCCATTGGAATTCAGGTAGAAGGTAGAATAGGCATCGTAGGTCCTGGGAAAGAGGGGATGCTTACTGAGGTATATGGCAACTGGTGCCAAATGTGATTAGTTCAAATACTTGTAAAACTAAATTTTACAACACATTCACAGAGATTTCAAAAATCCCAAAAGATTAGATTGTATACCCTTGTCACAATGAAATGAAGTACCTGGCACCAATGGTCTCAAAAAAGATCCTAAGTGATCCATGCAGCCACATGTTTTACAGTGTAAGAGGCTGAGTAACACGAGTAATTCTACTTCCAGCCAAAAAGTTACCAGTACTTCACCTAGGGTTATGAGGCTCAACTAATAAGTTTCATAAAAAAGAAATTTCCTTTGTTCCTTATATTTGAGTGCCCAGTAATACACTCAAAAATGTTCCTTATTTTTGTGAAAACAGAATGAAGCAAGACCCCTGTCTACTAGCAGCACACAGGCAAGCCCAGGCAAATCAGTATCTTTCTCACTTCTCACCGGTAAAGCTCCTCTTTGTCACGCTTGTAGAAACGCAGGAAGAGCATGTGGATAGGCAGCCCTACAAGCCGCCAGCGAGCTTGCAGGGTCCAGTTCTCTGGGTGGCGAGTCAACTGTAGAACCTCCAACCGAAGCTGTGCAAAATAGTTCCAAGCCAGGAAGCGACAAAGGGTCAGTGACAGAATGTATAAGGTCCGTCCCCTGTGAAGACGGGATGGGAAAGATCAGCATAATCAGAAAATGACTGCCTTCTCTGAGTTGAGAGGCAATAGGAGGCATTCTGAAAGGGAAAAGGGCTGAGCGTATCATACCAGGTCCTCCCCATGGCCCTACTCCTGCAGTACTTACTTGGTACGAATATTCAGAATCTCATTGATGAATTCCACGTCTGACGAATAGAGATTATAGTCATGGGAGTGAAGGAAGAGGTTTGGCAGCTGGGTGAAAAAAGATGGCATCAACCCAAAGAAAAGATTATCTCATTTTTCAGTTTCCTATTTTTAGGGCCACCTTACCCTCTAGGTAAAGGGTCATCTTAGTCCACGTCCAATCTGCCTTCACCCAAACCAGAGCATCTGCCTGCCCCGTGACTCTAAGCAAGAGTCTAACGGACCCAACCCCTGCTACCCACATCCCTGCAGAGGGGAGCCACTTTGGAACCCACTCACCTCCTGCCTCAGTCTTTCGTACATGACAGCCAGGTGTTCCTCCATACTAGGATCGCCTGATGGGGTGCCAGGGGATGCACGGGCAGCTCCAGGGGCTTGGAAAGGGATTAGAGCCCCAGGGTAGGGGCAGGGAGCTCCCTCAAAAAGGCTCCTCAGCCCCTCCAGGCAACCACTGTGCAACTCTGGCCCTGGGCCCTCCTCCCCCTTTCCTGGAGGGAGGACTGTCCATGGCGGGCTGAGGGCCTGGATCCCAGGGAGAGGGAGTGGGAGCGGTCGAGGTCGAGCCGGAGGGGGAGGCAGGCTGGGAAGGTGCCAGGGTAGAGCTCGGGGAGACCACACGAGAGGAGCCGGGGAGGTGACTGTTGTGGAGTGGGGCCAAAGGGGAGGGAATGGAAGAGTCCGTTGAGAAAGCTGGTCCTAAGAAAGCAAAAGAGGGGGAAGGGTAAGAATCTAGCTGCCTAATTCTCCTGCAGCCAGGCTCTGCCCATTGTGCTTCCATTGCCACCTACTCCTGAGAGAACAGATGAGTGGCAGAGGAAGCGGGAGTGGAGCCATCTCATCTGCTGGAACCTGAAGGGCACAGGTGCAGGCACCTTTCTGTTTAAGATTCCAACACTGCTAAGGAGGCAGCTTCATTTCTTACCACAAGACTCGTAAATCACAGCCAATGAACGTATAACAGGTTTTATTGTGCAGTGGGTGAAATGATGATATTTAACACCTCCGTTGGCGTGAGGCAAATGTATTAAAAGATCACCCAGCGAATTAGCTTCCTGTGTACTGTGTGACCTTAGGCGCTTTCATTCCCTATGCCTCAGTTTCCATAAATACTATATAAATGAAGACGGCAAAGTCTCGTTAGATTGCTATGACTATATGGGATAATGAATGTAGACAGTAGCAGTTAAGTGCAAGCTATTATCGTTTTGGGCCCCCTGACACAACCCCAAGCGTCTTCTTTCCCCCTGGTTTGCCCATGCTGACAAGGACGAGAGGTTACCCACAGTCAGGCCTGACCCCATCTCTACCGGGTGGCCCCGCGGCGGGGAAGCCCTGCGGGGCGCACTGCAGGTGCCCCGGTCTCTGCCGAGGGCGTGGCCATCGTGCCCTCCGCGGCACAGGGGCTCGAACCGGGTCCACCCGGCCCGGCCTTCCTGCCGGGGTCAGTTTCAGATGCAGGGTGAGCGAGGCTGCAGTACGCGGGCCGCGTCTGGGCCGGAGGAACTCACGAACGGCGCTTGGCCTGACCCCGGACCCCGAACCTTTCCGTCCCTGCCCTTCAAATCACCTCCAGGCACAGGTAACCGCGGGGCCTCGGGCGCCACGTGAACGCGCCCTGCCGTTCCGGCCTCGGCCCTGCCGGTCAGTGCCCGGTGGAGAACCCACGTCCCACGCGCGGGGCTGGCGCGTGCCGCCTTCGCGGCCCCACGACCCCTGCGCCCCGCGCCCGCCCGGCACAGGTGGGAAGGGGCGGCGGGTGTCACTGCGCCTGCGCGGGAGCCGGCGCGCTCCGCCCCCCGCCCCGGCTCTGGGGAGGGTCTCTCCCCGCCCCCTCGCTGCCCTCCCGCTTTTTCTCTCACCTGGGGTCGGGCCTGGTAGGCGCGCAGGCAGGGGCCGAGACGCTGGGCCGCCCCCCGGCTGGGCTGGTACATGATCTCCCCGGCGTGGAGAGCGCGCCTCCCGAGTGCGGCCTCCTCACGAGGGTGAGCGCGCCCGGGAGCCGGCTTCGCGAAGGGGAAAGGAGGGAGGGGGAGGGCAGGGGGCTGAGGGAGGGAAACGGAGATGTTGCGCGCTTGCGCACTGCGGGCTCCGGAGAGGCTGCAGAGGCGCCCGGTCGGCTCGAAGTGCGCCTGCGCTAGCGGTACTGGAGCGGGCCTCAGAGCGCTTGCGCAGTAAAAATCAGCTGCCCAGGACTCTGCACGCTCGTGTGACGTGTGTCCCGAAAGCTGAGGGGAGATGAAGCTGAACCGGGTGCCATGACAGGTTGATTGAGTTAAAAAAGATCACACTGATTTCTCAGTATCGCTCGTAATAAAAAATATTTTATTGTTCTGGTTAAATAGAAGATACAAATGATTTGGAGTTGATAAAGCAGCCTGTTGAATGAATATATGAATGAATACATTCATTTTAAGGGCTTGGCCTTGGCTGTCTCCTGTACTGAGGGAGAAATAATACTGACTTGGATGGTGTGAGAGTGAGCTGCGGTCACCAGGGCCTGGTGCTGCGACGTTCCTGCAGGTTCCGAATGAACCTGGCGTTGAACATGTCCCCACCCACTGCCCAGGACGGGGCCGGTGGGGCTTGGGCCTGTGGAGGAGCCGGGAGTGCAGCTTCCTCCCCAGCCCCCTCCTGTGACATAACCTGCTCCTCAGTGGCAGACCTGGTAGGTGGGGAGACAGAGAATGCGTTACACTGGCACTAAGGTGGGAGTGAGCATTACAGACTCGTCAGAGCCTTAGGTGCCAACTTTGAAAACCCCCTCAGAGAAGGCCAAAGGGAAGCACAAGGGTTGAACCTGTGGGGAAAGAGGCTGGTCAGATATTAGGTGGAAAGGTTTGTGTGAGCAGCTGGTGTCCGGTTCAGAGTTAGGATTGGGAGGTAGTAGCAGGTGCAGTGTTAGGAGAGGAGTCGGAAGGCGCTGGGACACCGTTAGCGTAGGGCTTTGGACCTCACCTAGTGTCTGTTTCCTGCTCCCCCTGCTTTGCTTCTTGGTTGCCTGTGGAAATACCAGCCATGTGCATGGGGAGGCTGGAGAAGGTAGTGAATGTGGCCTACGAGGTTGAAGGGTGAGAAGGAAGGAATACTTACCTGTGTTAGGGGATGAGGAATTCAACCCCCCATGGCGGCTGTAGCAGCAGCTTTGGGCTACCAGCCCTGGGGGAGTCCCCCTGCAGAAAAAATGGGAGATGATGGGGAAGAGGCTACAGGATGAGATGGGCGGGTATGGAGGGAAGGATTAGAACAACAGTGGAACAAGAAGTGGGTACTTACCACTTCTAACAGGTTCTGATCTAAGCTGTGCCCAGGAAAGGGGAGAGAGTTCATTTTGTACCCAAGATTATCTGAAGCAGTCCTGATCTGTTGCTTTATTCTTATTAAGGTAGTATGTTCAATGTGTGGCTAAATGTGATCTTATAGAAAGACTCATGTTTAGGTAAAAAGAAATTTGCTGGACCTAGTGCCCTGATGTATAGTTTGGAAAACCTAAGACACCCTTACTTAGACCAAAGGCAAATTTATAAGGAAAAGGAAGGGAGCTTTTGGAATAGGGTGACATATTGGACTCTGGCTAGAGGTAAGGGGTTTTTCCCGAGAGACCCAGGGCTTCAGTGGGGCAGTCATCCAGACTTCGAACAGGAAGAGGAATCCAGGGTCAGTGTGGCGATCATCAGTAGATCCCAAGATGATGTTGGTAGGTCTTGACATTTGGGAAAGGGCTAACCTTGGCAAAGGGTAAGAGTCACAAGGCGGGGAAGTTGGAGGTTCCTGAGGGAATGGGGAGTAGACCCAGAGGCTGCACATAGGGATCCAGCCACTCCCTGAGGTGACAGTGTGTGGGAGCACGAGCCTTGAGCTAGGGGTGTGCGCACAGCCAATCCTCGGAGCAGAGCTCTGAGGTTCGGGGTAAGGAGGGTGAGACAGATAGTGGTCCTGAGACCCCGGGAAAATAAAGGGCGAGACACAAATGAGGCTGACACCGTGAGATTGTGTTTGAGTGGTTCTTTTTTGTATTTTCCAGTGAAAATTTAGAAAACACAAAGGAACGCATTACTTTTTGCAGACAACACAGAGAGGGAAAAAGAAAAGGGAGGAGGAGGGAGAGAGGGAGATCCTGCTCCCAAGGATTTAAGAGGACACAGTTGGGGTATGTGATCTACCACACATAAAAGAGCAGACGGCGAAGGAACTAGCTATGCCCTGGGCATGGAGCAGGGAGGGTGGATCTTGCTATAGAGGGAAGAAGAGGGGAAGGCCAGAGGAAGAGTGGTCCTTCAGCTTATTTCAAGACAACCTCACAAGACAAAGATACATCAGCAGAGCTACAGGGCAGGGTGGATAGGAAGGGATTCCCAAGCCTTGAGACCTAATCCTCTATCTTGAAAAACATGAGTGATCCCAGAGTATTTTTCGGGATCTACTGCCAAGACAGAAGCTTGCTCGGAGAATGTGGATGTTGGGGAAATGGTGGTATCAGCAAGACTCCTTAAGAGACCCCAAAGCAGCATCAGCTAGGTGGGGACAGTTCCCTGACACATATACACGGAAATGAAGAGTTTGGCAATGTTGAGTGGATCCCACTGGGGACCTGGTAAGTCCCTGTCCTCACTGGATTGCTCAAAGGCAGAGCTTTTGGCTGGCATTGGCAAGTTGAACGGGCAAGTGTGGCAGGTGGCACAAAGCAGTATTGGAGCCCCAGTAGACACTGTAAAGGGAATATGGGAGATACTCCACGGACAAGACTCCTTAAAAGATTTCCCTGGGAGATGAGGCCCCTGGACCCTCTAGGGTGTTCTAGAGTCTGACAGCAGGCAAGAGTGTGCTTCTCCAGGTGATTAGGGCAAGCCCCCACATCGGGGGGTCAGGCAGTTTGTGGGGAGTGTTCGGAACCCAAGTCAGGAGAGCAGGGGTCCTTTCTGTGGTAAGAAAAACTACAAAGCGTTGGGCTATTTTGGACCCTGAAAACCCAGTTCTCTGAGAAAGGGGAAGAGGGAACCCTGTGGGTTCCAGTGGTTTCAGGAGGATGCAGTGGAAGAGTGGGTTCTGAGGTTCCCAGCGAGAGGAGTTTTTGCCTACTGCCTATCCCAGGGAGGAAGGGGGTAGCTGTCAGTATCGGCTGTCCTCAGAGCGGGGAAGGGAGCTGTGGAGAGATGTTATGGATGGGAGGAAGGGACAAGGAAAACAGGGGAGAGAGAGAGAAAAAAACAGAGAAGTCAGAGGTGAAGAGAAAAGCTCAAGAGAGAAATAAAGGAGTTGCCCATGCCCTGCTGCTAGGGTGGGCTCCTGGCACAAACAGGCATTGCCTTGGGACCAGTGGCTCCCCAGTCAGAGACACTACCCTGCCCTCACAGGCATTCAACCAACACTTCCCTCCCTCAGAAGGCCCAGCCACTCCACCCTCCACCACCCCAGTGGGCCTCTCCATGTATGCAACTCTCATGTCCAGACTAGGGTGTTTGGGCTCCCCAATGCCCTGTCCTGCTCCAACATTATGATGCTGTTCCAAGTCACTTCCATAAGCACAGTCCAATGTGTTTTTCCCAAAAGGTTTCTTGACTCCAGAGTCTACCTATCCACTTCCCTGACATCCTGCCCACATCCCCAATCCACTGACTCCTATTACCTGGTACGGCGACGCTGGGCCAGGCTGCCTCCAGGGTCGGTGGCCATAAGGAGGCGGGCAGTAGGATGTGGAGGGCAGAGGCGCAGGGACCGCAGCAGCTCCTGCTCTGGCACAAAGGGACGTAGGGGACCCCGTTCTGGCGAATTTCCCAGGCTGCTGGAACGTGGGGGTGGGTGGGCTGGAGGTGTGGCTCTGCGAGGGGCCCTGTTGAGGGGCCATGGAGGTTCCACAGCTACCTTCAGAACTGGAGAGAGAGGAAAAAGAGTGAGAGAAAGAACAAAAGAGGAGAGAAGGAAAACAACCATTGCGAGAGCAGAGAAACCAGAGCCTTTAGACAGGGCTGCCCTGCCCTTGGGTGCCTCCCCCAACAAGAATTCTTTTCACGCACATTAAGTTCCCCCTGCACAGCACCCAAAACCCAGCCTCTCTTACATTCTCGGTCACTTGAAGAGTATGGCTTAATGTCTCCCTCTGCTCTCTTGGGTGGCAGCTTTCGTGCAGGGGCTGGTGGTGGAGGGGACATAGGCAAGCATCAGGAGACATCCGTTGCACCCCACCTTCCAGCCACTAGCCCCTAACCCCAGGTCTCTGCTCAGTTCCCTCTGGGAACTCTGCTGCAGAAGGTGTGCCGTGGCAGAGCCGACATGCCAAGGGGAATTCAGAAGGCCGGAGCACTTTTGAGGAGAGCCAGAAGGAGCAGGCCACACACAGAGTGAGGGGAGAGCGAGCCAGGGGGAACTTCAGGGTCCTGGGAGGGACAGCCGAGGGGAGGTGAGCTCTTACTGTTGACCGGTGCTGTCAGGCACCCCAGGGGTTCTGGGGCAGTGCAATGGTCCCAGCTGGGCCAGCAAGGACCATGGGTTTGTCTAGATGAGATGGACAAAGCCCTTGGTTAATCAAGAACTGCTCTGGGGAGCTCAAAGGAGCCTGAGGTGGGGTAGAACCTTTCTTCCCTGTGCAAAGAGGGAGGAGACTGAAGGGTTGGATTTTTTTTCCCTTTTTCTTTAAAGGCAGAGAAAATAATGACACCCGAGAAGAAGCTATGAGCCATGTCTAAAGCCTCTCCTCCCTTCTCTCCCCCTTGCCCCTTTGAAGAGGTTATCTGTGCCACGTGTGTCTGTTGAGTTCCTCAGCCAACTCACAACTCCTCTGCTGTGGACCCCAGTCCTCACGTCCCCATTGGCTCTCATCCCTTTCGTCGTCTGTGTGTTGGCAGGAGCCAGACAGGGGAATCTTGTAAACCAGAGTCAGTCATGGGCATTGAGTGCCCCTTTGTGCTTAAGCCTGGTAGGTGCTAATGGCCGGTCACATCGGGTGGTGGTTGCTGCACTTCTCTGCCAGCCATTGAGGGTAGTGAGAGCTGCCAAAAAGTCAGCTCAGGAAGGGAGCCCCCCTGTGCATGCAGGCACCACATAGCATGCCCATGGTGGTGCTGCTGTTCCTCCTTCAGGACCAAATGAGAATCAGAAGTAAAAGGGTCTCATGCTGCTGGCAGGGAGGGTGTGTGTGTGTATGCATGCACATGTATGAGAAGGGGGCTGAAAAAGTAGGTCCATTTTGTTATATGGTTGGAAATGTCAATTCTGTGCATTCCCTTCTAGAGCTGATTTTAAACTTTGCACCGTCCATGTCACTGTCTTCTGACTGGAAATGGAAGGGCTGTCTACACTTGCCTGTACCACTGACAGAAACCCAAGGCGTTTCCAAACGGCTATGACCCTGGTTTATTTGGATGGACGTGACCTTTAGCTGCAATACTGATGTGAGCTCCCAGTGAGTTTCCCTAGGGAATAGCAGGGCCCAGTCTAAGGTGCACTGAGCTTCAATGAGGGCCAAGGCAAGTGACTGGTTTGCTCCGGGAGTTTCCCATGTGGCCCACAGATGGCAGTGCCATCCACGCATCCATGCAGGCTTTACCGGCGGGCGTGGCATCAGCCGCAGCAGCACGAGAGTGTCGAGTTGCCCTCAGAGAGGGAGCAGGGGGCCCTGTGAGGAAGGAAGTGGCGGTGCCCCTCAGTGGGGGCCTCAAAACCAACAGCTTGCCTTTCCTTCCCCTCAGCCCAACTAAGTGACTAACATGAGGGCAGAAAACTTACGATGTTGGTGGGCGAAGAAGCCTTCAAAAATCACAAAGTTGTTCACCTAGAACAGAGATCAAACAAAACTGACTCAAGTTCTCTGTTCAGCCCCTCAGCACATATTTGGGTACAGAACCCTGCACTAGAAAAACTGATGAAGGTCCAGCATGATAGCCTAATGACTAAAGTCATCGTCTTGCATGCACTAGGATCCCATGTGGGTGCCGGTTCTAATCCCAGCGCCCTGCTTCCCATCCAGCTCCCTGCTTGTGGCCTGGGAAAACAGTCGAGGATGGCCTAAAGCCTTGGGACCCTGCAACCACATGGGAGACTTGGAGGAAGCTCCTGGCTCCTGACTTCGGATTGGCTCAGCTCCAGCCGTTGCAGTCACCTGGGGAGTGAATCATCAAATGGGGGATCTTCCTCTGTCTCTCCTCTACTCTCTCTATATATCTGACTTTACAAAAAAAAAAAATAATAATAATAATAATAATAAATCTTTAAAAAAATTAAAAATACCTAAAGCTATGAAACTATTTAGAAGGAAATGGGAAAGTTATGAGTTTGGATTATGCAACAGTTTCTTAAGTATGACACCAAAGGCATAATCAACAATAGAAAAAAATTCCTCAAAATTAACTATTTTGTTTGGGGGCTGGCATTGAGATATAGCATTGCCATGAGGGTACCAGACCATGTCCCGGATGTCCCACATTTTTTAAAGCAGCTTTTAAAATTTTATTTGAAAGGCAGGGTTAGAGAGAGAGAGAGAGAAATCCTTCTCCTGCTGGTTCACTCCCAAAATGACTAGAGGTGGGCCAGCCTAAAACCAGGGGCCAGGAACTTCATCCAGGTCTGTCACATGCGTGCAGGAGCCCAAGCACTTTCCACTACTTTCCAACGCCCATTATCAGGGAGCTGAATCAGAAATGGAGCAGCCAGGACTCAAACTGGTGCCCATATAAGATGCCAGCACTGTAGGTAGTCTTCACTTGCAATGCAAGTGGTTAAAAAGGTCCTCGCCTTGCACGCCCGGGATCCCATATGGGCGCCGGTTCTAATCCCGGCAGCCCCGCTTCCCTTCCACCTCCCTGCCTGTGGCCTGGGAAAGCAGTCGAGGACAGCCCAAAGCTTTGGGACCCTGCACCCGCGTGGGAGACCCGGAAGAGGCTCCTGGCTTCGGATCGGCATAGTATCGGCCCGTTGCGCTCACTTGGGGAGTGAATCATCGGACAGAAGATCTTCCTCTCTGTCTCTCCTCCTCTCTGTATATCCGCCTTTCCAATGAAAAAATAATAAAAATAAATCTTTAAAAAAAAAAAATTGGGCCAAATATTTGACTAACCATTTCTCTAGGGAAGACAATTCTAATAAGCACATAAAAGATGCTCAATATCATTAGAGATTAGGGAAATGGAAATCAAAACCACTGAAACCACTCTATCAATTAGGATGACTGTTGTAAGAACAAAGGGCAATTAATGTTCCAGCAAGGATGTAGATAAATGCAACCTTCATGCATTGCTAGTGGGGATGTAAAATGGCACAGCCATTGTGAAGAAACAACTTGTCCATTCCTCCAAAAGTTAAAAAGAATTACCAAGTGATGCAGCAGTCCTACTGGTAGGTACAGACTCAACACAACTAGAGATACAAGTTTATAGCAGCCGAGTGACTATAACTGATAAGAATTCATTTTGGGCCCAGTGTGGTAGCCTAGTGGCCGAAGTCCTTGTCTTGCCTGTTCCCGGGATCCCATATGGGTGCCGGTATTATTTATATATTTATATATATTTATATATTATATTTATATATAACATATATTTTTTCCTTCAAAAAGCAGAGCTACAGAGAGAAAGATCAGGACTGGATTTGGAGGTGTCTTTTCTTCACTCCCCAAGTGACCTCAATGGCCAGGGTGAAGGCAGGAGCTTCATCTTGGTCTCCCATCTGGATGCAAGGAGGCAAGTGCTTGGGCCATCTTCCTACTGTTTTCCAGATGCATTAGCAGGGAGCTGGATCACAAGGGGAGTAGCCAGGACTAGAACCAGCATCCACACAGGATGCCAGCATTGTCAGGCAATGACTTAACCTGCTAAAACCCAGTGCTAGCCATGATCATTACATATTTTAAATATGTACTGAATTGTCATACTGTGTAAACCTAGTTATCATACGTTAATGAAAGCATTTCTTGGGGTCCATGTCATGATGCAGTGGGTTAAGCTGCTGCCTGAACACCCACATCCCATGACACAGTGCCTGTTCAAGTCCAGCTGCTCTTGTTTCCCTTGCAGCTTCCTGCTAATGTGCATCATGGGAGGTAGTAAGTGATAGCTCCAGTTCTCATCCTTGTGCGGGACCTGGATGGAATCCCAGGCTCCTGGCTTTGGCCTAGCACAGCACGGGCTGTTTTGGGAACCGTGGAAGGTAAAGCCAAGGCAGAAGAGTCTCCCTCTCTGTTGCTGTAGCTTCTGAGTAAAAATATATTAGTGGTCAGCATCGTGGCGAGTGGGTTAAGCCGCCTCCTGTGATGCTGGCATCTCATATGGGCACCAGGTTGAAATCTTGGCTGCTTCATTTCTAACTCACTGCTAATATACCTGGGAAAGCAGTAGCAGATGGCCCAAGTGGTCACTGACATTCCTGTGAGAGACCTTGATGAAATTCCTCGATTCTGGCTTCATCCTGGGCTACCCATGGCCATTCTAGCCATTTGAGAAGTGAAGCTGGAGATGAACGTTTGCTCTATCATTCTGCCTTTCAAATAAATCTTTTAAACTCCATTTTCATGAGTTTTTTGAAGCACACTGGCATTATTACGTTCAATTTGGCCTTAAATAATTATTGGAAGAGCTGGCAGAGTGGTACAGCCTGCAATGCCAACATCCTATATGAGTGCCAGTTCAAATCTCTGCTACTCCATTTCGCATCCAGCTTCCTACTAATGTGCTTGGGAAAGGAATGGAAGGTGGCCCAAGTGTTTGGACTCCTTACCACCCATGTGGGAAATCCAGATGGAGTTCCAAGCTCCTGGCTTTGGGTTGGCTCTGCCCTGACCTTTATGGCCATTTAGGGAGTGAAGCAGCAGGTAGAAGATCTCTTTCATCTCTCGCTCTTTCTGTAAATCTGCCTTTCAAACAAATAAATACATCTTTTTTCTTCTTTTTTCTAAAAATAAAGCATTGGAGTCACTATGTTTAAGAAAACAAATAGGGAGCCCAGCATGGTGGCCTGGCAGCTAGGGTCCTTGCCTTGAATGTACCGGGATCCCATATTGGCACTGGTTCTATTCGCGGCAGCCCCTCTTCCCATCCAGCTCCCTGCCTGTGGCCTGGGAAGGCAGTAGAGGACAGCCTTGGAACTCTGCACCCGCATTGGAGACCTGGAAGAAGTTCCTTGTTCCTGGCTTCGGATTGGCACAGTACTGGCCGTTGCGGTCACTTGGGGAGAGAATCATCAGACGGAAGATCTTCCTGTCTCTCCTCCTCTCTGTATATCTGACTTTGCAATGAAAATAAATAAATCTTTAAAAAAAAGAAAAAGAAAAAACAGGACCTGACGCAGTAGCCTAGTAGCTTTATCCTTGCCTTGCAACCACTGGAATCTATATGGGTGCCAGTTTGTATCTTCGCTGCTCCACTTCCCTTCCAGCTCCCTGCTTCTGTCTTGGAAAGCAGTAGAGGATGTCCCAAAGCCTTGGAACCCTGCATTTGCATGGGAGACCCAGAAGTTGTTCCTGGCTTTGGATAAGCTCAGTTCTAGCCATGGAGGCCACTTGGGGGAGTGAATCAGGGGATGGAAGGGACGGAAGGTCTTTCTGTCTTTCCTGCTTTCTGTAAATCTGACTTTCCAGTAAACATTTAAAAAACAAACAAAAAACAGGGCTGGGACAAGATGTGAGGACTGGACCTGGGGGCAGGTTGGGCTGAGCTAAGTCACAGCACCCATGGGTGTACACAAGAACCTGATGGGATTTGGGCTAGGCTGCAGCGCAAAAACTGGGGCTGGGGCCCGGCACGGTGGCACAAGTGGTTAAGGTCCTCGCCTTGCACGCCCGGGATCCCATATGGGCGCCGGTTCTAATCCCGGCAGCCCCGCTTCCCTTCTAGCTCCCTGCTTGTGGCCTGGGAAAGCAGTCGAGGACGCCCCAAGGCTTTGGGACCCTGCACCCGCGTGGGAGACCCAGAAGAGGTTCCTGGCTTCGGATCGGCATAGCATCGGCCGTTGCGCTCATTTGGGGAGTGAATCATCGGACAGAAGATCTTCCTCTGTCTCTCCTCTCTGTATATCTGCCTTTCCAATAAAAAAAAAATAAAAATAAATCTTTAAAAAAAAAAAACAACTGGGGCTGGAGGTTGTCCTGGTGGGGTATTAGGAGTCACCCTAACTAGGCCCTGGTACCCTGCACCCACATGGGATATCCAGAAAAGCTCTTGGTTTCTGGCTTTGGATTGGCTCAGCTCTGGCTACTGTAGTTTCTTAGAGGAATAAACCAGAGGATAGAATGTCTTTCTCTCTGTAAATCTGACTTTCCTATAAAAACAAACAAACAAACAAAAAACTAGGACACAAACAAAACCTGGAGACAAAGTGCAAAGTCAAGAAGCTCATGTGGTTAGCACTGGGCACCAGCTCTCAGCTCTAATGTCAGAAGTCTCAGGTCTCAGCTGGGAATAGTTTCTGTGACAGGACTGTGGGTTCAAACCTGGGCCACACCACTTACCAGCTGTGTGAAGTCAACTAAGTCACTAATTTAAATGCCAAAAGCATTAATGACACATAGCTCAAAGAAATGCAGCATCTAGACACAGAGCTTGTGACGCATTCTTTACCTTGCTCTAGTCTTCCGTGTTAACTGTTTGATGTCAAACACTGCCTTCCTGCTCTCTGCTGCCTCCTCATGGAAAACTGTACCATAGGACTTTCTAAACCAACCCTGTCTCCTTGTCTTGACTTTGCTGTAGTGTCTACCAACCCATCCCGGCCTTCCCTAATCAGCACTTGCCAGCACTCTGGTCATGGCACACTGCTTGCAGTGCCCAGAATGGCGGGCTAATTCCGCTCTTCCTTTGTTCAAGCCTGCTTCACATACTGTGGCCCACCCCCACATTGTCCATCTGATGAACATTCACCTTTGAAACATAAACATACAGCAAGCCTTTCTCAAGTCCCATCAGACGGCAGCACTCACCAGTGATCGAGTCTGCCAAGGGATGTTATAGTGGATCAGCTCTCTGTGCTCGTATCCAGGACGAATAGAACAGATCCCAACCCCTCCTGCCAACTCAGCAGCATCACTGCAGCATTCTCCCTACGCCTCTGACGCCACCACATTTTCTCTCTACTGAATCATTCTTAAGCTGTTAGTTCTGAAAAGAATCAACCTTCTCAATTCATTTCTCCATCTAGCTCTCATTCTGTTTCTCCATTCTCCTTAAAGCAGCATTCGGGAGGGGCTGATCCTTGTTCTCTAGTTCTTGCTGCCCAATATCCTAAACCCACTCCTTTTTGGCTTCTGCCCACCACAGCACCAAAAGAGACCCTCCAATTCCCAGTGGCGGATGCTAGCTGAATTCAGCAGTCACTTCTCACTCCAAACTTCTTACTCCAGAGACCAGTAGTGTCTGGCCTGTAAACTATTCTAACCTGCTGGAAACACATTCTTCACCAGCCTTCTCACTTTCAACTGTTCATCTACTTTACTGGTCCTTGGTTGCATTTACTGATTGTTCCTCTCCTACTTTTTAAAAATAGGATATATTTATTTATGTGTACAGCAGAGTGACAGAGAGAGACATATTTTCTGTCCACTAGTTCACTCCCCAAAATGACCATAACAGCCGAAGTCTGGGTCAGGCCAGACCCAGGAGCAAAGAACTACATTTGAGTCACATAAGTATCATAGCAGTAGCTTAATCCACTGATACCACAATGTTGGCCTCTGTATTTACGTTTTTAAAATAATTATATTCAAAAAGTAGAGTTACAGAGAAAGAGGAGAAGAGAGATGGAGAGGTTGTCCATGGCTGGTTTACTCCCCAAATGGCTGCAGTGGCCGTGGCTGAGCCAAACTGAAGCTAGGGGTCAGCAGCTTCATCAGGGTCTCCCACATGAGTGGCAGGGATCTAGGTTGGGACCCAACCCAGTGTTTCCATGGGATGCTCCACTCCCCATTCAACTCCCTGCTAACATGCTTAGGAAAGCAGCAGCAAATGGGCCAAATCCTTGGTCCCCTACACCATGTGGCAGATCCAAATGAAGATTCTGGCTATTGGCTTCAGTCTGTCCCAGCCCTGACTGTTGCAATCATTTGGGGAGTGAAACAGCTGATCGAAGAGCATGTTCTCTCTCTTTTTAAAAAAAGATTTATTTATTTTTATTGGAAAGTCAAATATACATAGAGGAAGACAGACAAAGAGGAAGATCTTCCATCCCATGATTCACTCCCCAAGTGGCAATGGCCACTTTAGCTGTTAGGCTACACCGCCGGGCCCCATGAAGAGCATGTTCTCTTTCTCCCTATGTAACTCCACCTTTCAAATAAATAAAAAAAGGGCCCGGCATGGTGGCCTAGCAGTTAAAGTCCTCGCATTGAAAGCACCAGGATCCCATATGGGCGCTGGTTCTAATCCCGGCAGCTCCACTTCCCATCCAGCTCCCTGCCTGTGGCCTGGGAAAGCAGTTGAGGATGGCCCATGGTTTTGGGACCCTGCATCTACATGGGAGACCTGGAGGAATTCCTAGCTCCTGGCTTCGGATCGGATCAGCACGGCACCGTCTGTTGCAGTCACTTGGGGAGTGAATCATTAGATGGAAGATCTTCCTCTCTGTCTCATCCTCTCTGTATATCTAACTTTGCAATAAAAATAAAAAATAAATCTTTAACAATAAATAAATAAATAAAAGAAATCTTGAGGGGGGAAAAAGTGACTTGAAAAAAAATAGATTAAAATATTGGATAAAAGTGAGAGGTTGTAACATGCAGAAAAGGGCAAGCCTAGTGACTAAAGTCTTTGCCTTGTATGTGCCAGAATCCTATATGGGTGCCGGTTCTAATCCCAGCAGCCCCGCTTCCCATCCAGCTTCCTACTTGTGGCCTGGGAAAGCAGTCAAGGATGGCCCAAAGCCTTGGGACGCTGCACTGGGTAGGAGACCCAGAAGAGGCTCCTGGCTCCTGATCGGTGCATCTCCACCTGTTGTGACCACTTGGGAGTGAATCAGCAAATAGAAGATCTTCCTTTCTGTCTCTCCTCCTCTCTGTATATCTGACTTTCCAAAAAATTTAATTGTGTTTTATGGGGAATAAATAAAATCAATGGGAACACTCCATCAGATTTCTTCTCCACAACTTCTAACCTGTGGGACTGTGCTCTCCAGGTGGTAGTGTTTGTTCAGGAACTTGAGCAGCTTCTGTGAAGGACGGTCAATGGCCAGTTGGTGTGGCTCCACTCGCTCCTTCTGTAGGACACAGCAGACAGGGCAGGGGGAGGGTTGGTGAGGGTATACCTGTAGGGGGTCAGGAGGCTGGGAACAGAAGGACAAGGGAACGTGGTGGAGGACAGCCTGACAGAAAGGTAACTGATACCTGCAACATGTACTGGAAGAGTTCTCGCCCGTGGCCGTGGCGCTGTACAGATTCATGTATGTAGAAGTCCAGGATGCAAAGTGGTTCTACCTCATTGTGAGCCTCGCGATCATCCTAGGTGGCAAAGAAGCAGCCATACTCCTCTTAAGATTCAGCCTCCAGCATGTTTTAATTCTCCAGACCAAAGACACAAGAACTTTTAGCTTTCAAAAACACTCACCAACACAAAGAGCTTCTTGTACCCAACTTTGATGAAACCAAGAATGGCTCCTTTTCCAGCCCTGTGGAGTGGGGAAAAAATAATGAACAATCTCAGTCGCTTTCCGGAGGAGGCAGGGTGCGAGGAGGAAGGATTTAAGGATGGAGACGCAAGAACATGGGGCACTCACGGTCGGGCTGAGGTATCTTTGAGCACATAGATCACGTGGCGGTTACTCTGCATCCGTGATGCACTGGTGATGGGAGCAGGCAGGTGCTGGGCCTGTCAGGAAGACAAAGATAGACGTTCTGCAATCCCCTGGCCAAGAGGTTAGGCCTCTGTTATGGACCATCCCTACAGAGGGCTCCGCTTTACTTGAGACTCCCCAGTACCTTGGCAGAAGCCTTGCCCAGTTCATCTATGATGGTCATAATTTGCTGCTGCAGATCAATACTACAGAAAGAGAGGAAACAAGAGTCAGATACTCACTGGGTTAGAAGGTCCTAGGCAGTCGCTCCTGAGAACCTGGCCACAACCCCAGCCTGGACTCAACACTTAGGGCTCTCTACCCTTGCTAAGAATCTCTCCCCATTCCATCACTCTGCACTCCACTTTCATCACATCGCTTAAGGTGGTATACTCCCTCCTCCCTTAAGGTTACTGTATGGCCAACCACATCCTTTTGTTGGGACCACATTGGGCCAAAGGGTGAAAAGTCACAAGTCCAATAAAGGTAAACCCACTGGGATTAAGGTTAAAGGTCATCAAAAGGGCAGGCAGAAACATCAAAAGGAACGGCCACTGGTGGATGGGAAGGGGGCGTGGTGCCTGGTCCCACTATGGGATGGGACTGGGAGAGAAGGGACCAGGGGCGGGTTTGAGCTGTCACCGGGCCGGAGTTGTGGTTCCGGGTCGGCGGGCCGGGGGCCGCAGGTGCTGGTCCAACACCGTGATCCGCTCCGGGAGCAGCGTGTCCACATCGAACGGGAACTCCATGGCCCATTGTGCGCGGCCGGATCCGCCCCGCACTACGCAACTTCCGCCCCGCCCGCAGTCTTTCCAGGAAGCACACCCGGTGGCTCCTCCCCCAGGTCCTGGCAGAGTGCAAATTGATTCTGCAGACACCCGCTGTCTCCACGGTAACAATCCACCCCCACTGGCTTCTCGGCAGGTGCCATGGCAACGTTTTTCCTTGGCTAGCATCTCAATCTTCCTGTAGCTCAAAGAACTGCTGAGCAGGGTGGGAGCAGGGGACCCAGTTCCCCATCTCTGCCCCCTTCTGATTGTGGGCAAGACTGGGTTAGGTCTGACCTTCCTCCTTTCCACAACAGCAACCTGTTTTTCCACTTACAAGAGAAAATGAAACACCAGCTGAGTCCCCACAACCACCCCAGTAGCATTCATCTCAAGAGCAAGCTAGACACAGGAGATAAAAGCTTTATTACGGAGCAGATGAGCTGGCTGAAATCCCAAACAGCCCAGTGTTGAGCCCATTTATTTGCAACACAGAGGTGACAGTTTCACAGAGGTGACAGTTTCCAGTAAACATGCGATCTGACCTCCTTCAGCCCCTGATGTATTTATCCCTTCATGAACAATCATTTGCTCCTGGGCTTGGTAAGGGCACAGGACAGACAGCACTTCTCAGGGTGACCTCCAGGCACGTGATCTAGGCATTCCCTCCTGATCCCTCAGGCTCCCTTCCCCATGTGCAGGCCCTAGGGAGCACTCTGGGAGCCCGACTGCTCACTGGAGGCAGCTGCAGCTGGGGCAGCAGGAGGCACCACGGGCATTGACGCAGGTGGGGGGCCACTCTCTTCCCGGAGGTGGCCCTGATAGATCCGCCGCAGGCGGGACAGTTCTCTTTCGGGTGGTTGTTTCCAGCTGTACCACGGATACCAGGGCTCACCAGCAACCAGGCTGGGGGCTGGTGGAGTAGTGCTCACAGCTCCATGAGAGGTACTGAAGTCGAGGTCCCGGGGCTCAACCTGGGGAATATGGTAACTGAGGAGACCTGGAGGTTAAAAAGAGAATGCAAGGAAGGGGTGTGAGGAGAGGGTGTTCAGATTATGAGACAAGGAAAAGGGCAATGTGACGAGAGGGAGCAGTTAAATCCATTGGTCTACTGAGGACTGGTGCCTACTGCACAAAGGCAGCTGTCTCAAGGAGCAGGTATGAGCTCCACAGCCCAGGCTCCTCCTGTAGAACTGTGCAGCCTTGCCCCACGGCTAGGGATCAGTCCCAGCCCAGCAGGGGGCGCCTGTCACCCACTCTGTGCAGAGATGCCACTGGCCAGGGCAGGAAATGCACACAGCCTCCAATGACGCTGATCTGGCACTGGCAGCAGGACTTGTAGGTAATAGAGAGGGGAAGGAAGAAAAGATGAACAAAGGGATGGGCAATGGCAAGGGCAGAGACTGAGGACCATGGACGGTGGAGTAAGACAGGAACTTCTGGGGAAGAACATGTTGGGTGCCACCTTCTCGGGTAGGGGCACCTGTAGCAACCTTCCAGGCCTGAGTCACCTTCTCCAGCCCTGCTCATGCTCACCATGATCTCTGGCTTTCTGGATGGCCTCGGTCAACTTCTTGTGCTGCTTCATACAGACTCCTGTGGGGAGAGAAACTGTAACTTGGGGTTCAGTCTGTAAAGCAAAAAACAGAACATAACTCCTTCTGTAAGATAACAGAGGGCTGAATTTAGAAGATCCAGCTTTACCTAAGATCCCAATCTCCTGACTCTTTCATGGGCCTCAATTTTCCCATCTACTTGATGGGAACAATCCCCCTCCACCCTTTAAGAATTAGGATGAAGACTTAGGTGGAAGGCTTAGCCACTATGCAGAAGCCATTTAATGATAAAGGCTGTAAGACTACAAACAGGACATAATTCATCAGGCAACTGTGGGTAATTAAAAGATACAGTTGGCGAGAGAATCAACAAACAAACACCCCAAACAAGAAGTGACTGCAGATCTGGGGACAGCCACCTGAGAGGTACAACTGTCCCTTCTGTCCTCTACAGCTTACATATAAAGAATTCTGACAAACTCAGCACTGGTCATTCAGCTACCTGCAATAATGGTGGAATGAGAATTACAGAAATGTATCTTGGTTCACAACAAGGGCTGGCGGTATTTTTCTGTTTAGAGCCACACACAGCTAACAGTTCAGGCTCTGCAGGCCCTGTGGTCTGTCTCAGCTACTATGCCTCTGTGGCCTGGAAGCAGTTTAGACAATATGAAAACAAGTAGAGTCCAGGCTGCTGGGCCTGTGGCTTTAGTTACGGATGATATTTACTTTGTAAGAAGTACATTCAATTTGCTCCTAAAGGCACCTACCTGGATCTTCTTCCTACAAGTGTTTTAGCATGTGTTTCCCCACCAAACCAAGGTTTCCAAAAAGGTTCAGATACACTCTGTATGCTCTGAGCAGGAGCCACAGAACCAACGCCCAGTGTTTAACTGCACCGTCAGGGAGTGCCATCAAGGGATAGTATTCTGGTGGCAACAGGGACAGGCTGACCTGTGTACAGCGCATGGAAGATGATCCCAGTGTGGGCACACACAAATTGTTCCAGAAGCTTCACATTCTGCAAAACAGAAGGGTAGAGAGCCAGGAGGGACAAACAGGAAGATTTTTCCAAAACCAGCCTTCTCACAGGTACAACCTCCTGTAGTCTGTCACTAACCTCATGAAAAAATCCCTTCCCAGAGGCTCTATGGTACAGTCAACCAGGCAAGACCTCAGGATGGTTACTGCAAAGTCTAGACATCACTCCCCACCCCCCAAAATGTCATCTGTGTGGATAAGCATTCAATGTATGTAATAGCACATAGATATAACATATACTGACTAAAAGCAATCACATAGCTTTAAGTACACAGTAGAAATGAGACTCTTAAGCAAGCAGCAGGTACGTTTGTGGAATGGAGTGACAGGCATCAGCTATTCAAAGTGCAATCTGTCTCCCTTGGCTATATAATTGGTTTACTACTTTCAAGACCAACCAGATACAATTGAAACCAGCCAATATCCAAGGGGTTCACAGCTTGGGTCGGCAGGGTCCTCCCAGCTTCAGACATCTGCTGTTTCACATACACATGCCTTCCAGCCGCCTGATAGCCAACTGTAGCTTTTCCTCTAATACCTTCACTACAAAGAGCACCATGTTCCTACATCACTTTCATATGCTATCACATTTTTTTTTTTTTTAGGAAAAAAGTTCTGTCCTTACAATAAGGAAGGCTGTCTGAAAAGATGTTCTACTAGATATTATGCTTCAGGTCTTCTGGCCAAGATCAAGTGTAGGCTTTATGTTTCATATGTCTGCACTTTAGCCCCAGCTGAAGTGTCCTAGCACACACTACTGAGTACAGATGAAAAGAAATAAAGACGCCAGCAAGAAAAAGTAGACCAATACACTCATCCACACTTAAGTAAGTATAGATCATTCTTAAGGAATCCTTGTGATTATTGCTATTTGATCAGAAACAGACATTTCTCCTATCTGCCAATTTAGACGATAAATTTCACAGGTGTAGTGAAAGGATCTTTGGTTAATCTACAGCAGAAGGCAAAAGGCCAAAGGGAGATTTTTTTTTTTCTTGGAAAGGCAGAGAAATGAAGAAATATCATTTGATGTTTCACTTCCCAAATGCCTTCAACAGCCAGGGCAGGTACAAGTCTAGAACTGAACCCAGGCTCCTGTGTGGGTGGCAGGGAGCCACCCACTTGTGCAACAACCAGGTGTTTTCCAGGGTGAACGTTAACAGGAAGGTGGAATTGGGAAAGAAACCAGCGTGAGAACCCAGGTACTTAAATAAGGGATGTGCCCTAACCACTGAGGCCAAATGCTGAGGCCTTAGAAATGCTTGTACATTTCCAGAAACAGTCACTACATCACACACACAAATATGCAATAATTCCTGTACTGTCACAAATGCTCTCCAAATCCTCATTCTGCGGACAAGATTCTACTTACCCTGAAGTCAACATGTAGCTTGTGATCCCGACAGATGGGGCAGGGGTTCCCGGCAACCTTATTCTTACGCTGAAGAGAGAAGGAACTGGCAGTCACAAGATGTCATAAAAGCACTGCTGCCTTGATCACCATAGCCACCACCCCTCTGACCCCCACCTTCAGAAAACTCACAATACATGTCTTTCGCGTCCGCTGCGGGGGTATACCACCTTTGTGGTTGCGGCGGTAATCAGCCCAGACGGGGCGAGAACCATAGCGGTTCTGGTATTCTAAAAGGAAAGAACACAGCAGTCATTTCCAAGCCAGGGCGCAGAAATGATCACTGTGTTTATCTCAGACCCCAACTTGACTCTACCCCCTTTCCCACCATTCAGCTATACCTTCTGAGTCCAGGTATTTCCAGGGTTCATCCTTATAAGGGGAAATGGGAAGAGTGGGCAAAGAATCATTCTCAGGGGGGGCTTTGGTGCAAAGAGTCTGGAAGGGAACCTATAGAGGAGGGGGGAAAATAGAGAACGAGTTGAAGGAAAGGTCTCAACTGTTTTGCTCATCACACATTGGGAAGAAGGGGAATGCATACCCACTGTGTTAACAGAATAGTTATCATTACTGAGGGGAATTCAACTGACATAAATCAATGGCCATTCTCATTTCCAAGTGGATTCTGAAACAAAAGCTAATAACATTAGGAGATATCTAAGTTGGGCGATTGGGAAGTAATCTTATTTGAGAATTTAATTGAAGAACCTGGCATACAAAAGCTATTTGTGCTTTTGGAAAACAGAGTGTACTGGGAGATGAAAAGGAAAAAGGAGGCTGTCTAGCCTCTTCAAATTAAAATGTATGGTAGGGAGGGGGCAGTCTGTAATTCTGTCACCAGAATTGACCAGTTTTATAAACAGCTCAAGGTCAACATTCCATAGGACAAACAAACCTGAGTCCCCACGCTAGCTTGAAAGCTCCCAAGCCTATTATTAACTCCGTGGTGACCTCCACCAACACTCCACACTCCCACTTTAGGGAGTGGCAGCTGGCAAACCTTCCTGTCTCTTCCCTGCCCTACCAAGAACTTCCAGAATGGTGAGTACGTGAAGCCTGAAGGGAAGCTTCAATTCAAAGGACGGGAGGTTCCCTGTATGATCCGATAAGAAACCGATCTAGTCAGATCCAAAGAGCTGAGCAACTGGCTCCCGTGAGAATGTCTTATGGGCATTCCATGGACGTAACAGGGTGGTGGACGTGGGTGCCCCCTCAATCAAACGGCTATCCGGGGCACCACAGTTAAACACCACCTGCATGTAGCTGTGTGGAACCAATGAGTCAATTTCATCTCATAGTCATTTTCCCGAGATGATATTTTGGGACTAGAATGATATTTAGTTTTGGCTCTTGGCTCAGGATCAGACAAGGCGCACATCCCTGGCGGGGGTAAGTGTGGACTAAACACGGGGGAAGGTCTCGGCTCGCGGGTTCCTGGCGGTGTAGCCACAACCTAGAGAGGGGACACCTAATACAGAGTTGTACAAAATGTCCTCCGAGGAGTTACCTGAACTCCATAGGCACTTCTGAAAAGCGAAACGCTAGGAAACCGCCTCAGCAGCGTGTTCAGTACGGACGCCGCCATCTTGACGCAGGCCACCAGCAGAATCGCCAGGAAAGGCGACTGCGCATGCTCCAGGAAACCTACTCGGCTAGGGCCAAAGGGCAACCCGCAGTGCGGAAGGCAGCTGCGCGTTTGCGTCAGGGCGGAAGTGTAGAAGGGGGCCAGGCGGGGGGGGGGAGGGGAAGAAGCTAATTTCATCTGCGTCACAATCAAGTTAGGTCTCAAAATTACATTTTTTCTGGACCAACCACTACCATTCTCACATTCCATTCTTAAAGTTTTTATCGGAAGCGATTTTGAAAGCGATTTTGCGGGGAGTCCCCTGAGTGCGCATGCGCCGCTCCATTTCTACCAACTCTGGGAGAGCCGTCCTCTCGAGGGCGGAAGTGGTCAAAGCAAAGGAAAGGGCGGTACTGAGCTCCCTAGTCACGAGCACGCGAAGGGAGGGGCAGGAAGAAGGCGGAAGAGGATGCCGAGGGTGGGGCTGAGCGAGGATGAGAGGCAGGATAGCCAATCAGCGCGCGAGTTGCCTTTCGGGCGGGCCAATGAGCTCACGCCTCGCGCACAATGTCTCGCGACAAGGGCGTTTCAGTGTCTCGTTTGGGCGCGTTGGGCGGCGTCCGGCTATAAAAACCTCCGCCCGAGCTGGCAGCCGCCATTCTGGGGTTCGTTTAGAGGTAAGTTGTGGTCTGTGATATGTTGTGGGTTCAGGTGTGGGCACATTTGGGGGTCTGGGCGGTGGGGCAGGGGCGGTTTCGTTTGAGATCCGTGGCGTGGCGATGAAACTGGCCGTGTCGGAGCTTGGCGCGCGGAGGAGACGCTGGGGGGCGGCCAAGATGGCACAGCTGCAGTCCGTACTGATGACCTCTTTCTCCCTTGTGTTCCTTTTATCCCAGGTTTGAATTTTCTCGGAGAAAGGCCGGCCACGAGGAAAACAGAAACAAGCCGCAGCAACCATCTTAAGCCCTTGAAAGGATCCGAGGGGGGAAAGGGGAAACAGCAGCCACCAGCCCAACCACTTGTGTCTTCTCCCTTCCCACCTGTCTTGCCCACCCCACCAGCCCACGCTGCTTGGGACTTGCAATCTGCGGCCGAAGGACCGTCACCACATAACTGCAAAAAATAATCAGCCACCCCTCCCCTCCCAAACCCGCTCAGATCCACTTCATCCAGCGTTTCCTTTTTTGAATCCAACTCAGAAATTTTTTTCTACGACCCCCCTCCCTCAATGGAGTTGGGTGGGGGGGGGACGAATACTGAGTCGGCCTTTATTTTTCTTATTTTTTAAGAGACTTTTTGATGCAATGAGGCCCCCCCAAGTCATTTGAGTTTTGGGTCCTGGTTGGTTGGTTTTTTTTTCCTCCAAAATTTCACCCCCTCCCCTACCCCCCTGAGCCCGAGGTGCTGACGTCGCAAAAATATTGGATAGTAAGTGTCGAATTTTCAAAAACAAGCCTTGCAACAAGAAATCAACGTTTTCCCGTTGTGAAACCAAAAAAATAATGAGAGGAAGAAAATGAGACCATAGAACAGAGAACTGGGAGAAGGACCAAGCCGGTCACTTAATCTCCATTAAAATGGGCCTTGGGGTCTAAATACAGTCTTGTTCTCTCTCCCATGCCACCTGCCTCTTCCCCTGCTCTGCTGCAGGCCTGGAGAGGGTGGAGGGAGGGCCAGCGAGCCAGGAGTTTGATGGTTAACCCTTGGTAATCCAGTCATTTTCCAGACTGCCAAAGCCATAAGTGTTTTACTTTCTAATAAGGAGGAACGGGTTCCCTTCCTCTGGTTAGCTGCAGTCTTCGAAAGGGTTAATGAGCTCACATGCAAAAGATGGTGGATCTTGGAGCCCAGAAGTCCCACGTCTTTGTGTGTGAGACAAACAGGGTGCCTCTCAATTTGCCAGATTAATAAGCAATCTGTACATAAAGATTGCAGGGTAAGGAGATGGGCAGAGAGAAATAACAGCTGGCTTTGACTTTTTTAAAATGATTGTTAAGTCCTCTCAATTTTAATGTTAATTTGCTTCGGGTATATTTGTGCGGTTAAATACGTGGCAATCTAGGAATAAAGATTGCAAGACACTTGATACAGGGAATATTCTAGTACATACAAGATAACAGATGGGGAGGTAAAGAAATGTCTTTGTAATTGTTGCAGGTTGCGTAGGTTATTTAAAAGCAAACGGATTAATTACATTTTGGTAACTTTCGGTGGGTGGGTAACAGTTAAAACTAGCGGGTTGGGGAATGTGGGATTCGGCAATATATTTTTTAAAGCCATTATTTAGTGCATTGAATGCTAGCTTTCTAAAAGATTTGTGTCGTTAAAAGGAATTTTTTTTTTCTTCCCTGCTTCAAAATGGCGACTTTCCTTGTCCTTTTGTCTTCCAAGCAGCGTTGCAGGTTGTCTTCAGCCCATTTTTCTCCTGTTCTCCCACTTCAGCCCTACTGTTGAGGGCGGCTCAGATCCTCCCCCCTCCCCGTCCCGTTTTTTCAAGGAGGGGTGGTCAGTGGTAGCAGATTGGGCTTCAGGTTCGAATTTCTTTCCCGCAGCAAATTGCTTTTAATATTTTACTGCTTTACGTTCCGCTCTTTAATGATTAAAGTAACATCAGGGGTAATCGAGGATGGGCGGCCGGTTTTTGTTATTTTACCAAAACGAGTGTTTTCTAATGTAACAAGCTATCGGCAGAGCCGGCTCTGTTCTTTTAAATTCTGAGTTCTTTCTCCATTACAAGATGGCGCCTCTCTTTTGTTGTTTTTTTCTCTTCTGCTGTCCTGGCCCTCGGGCCGCCCTAGAAACTTGTCGAGGGGGAGGAGCGGCAATGGAAGGTGATGTAATCGGCTTACTTCCTCTCCACCCGCTGCAGACTCCACCCCTGAGCCGCTTTCTCCTAGCCTGCTCCTGCACACTGCTGCTAGGGGAAAGGCTGTATGTAGTGCTTTATTCTGATGCATTCTTTTTACAAGTCTTAAAAGGGATAAATGCTTCTAGGATTTATGTGTCAAGACTTTTCATCTCCATGGCTAGATAGCTCTTATATTTAGCAATCAGCCCGTTAATTTATTTTTACCTTCCTTCACTCAACAATTGCTTGGAATTTTTAACCCGCTTCAGTTGCCAAGGGTGAAGAACCAATCAAATCTAAACTGTACTTTTAAGCCTGGGTAGCCTTCAGGGGTGTGTGAGAGCGAGTGTGTGCATATATCTTTGTTGGGGGAGAGTGGGGGACACAAAGGCTTGCTAGCAGAGAGTAACTTGAGATAAATGGCCTAATGAACCTACGTGCCATTTCTGCTCAGGAGCCTTGTGCAATTTGGTCACTGTGTTGTGGGATTGTGGGTGAGTAGGTTGGGTGCTTTTAGGACTCTAAACGGCCCTTCTTCCCAGCTCTGGGTTTATAGATAAACTCTGTATCGAGTGCTGTATCACGTTCTCCAGTTGCTTAGTTCCTGTACATTGGTACTAGGATAAGAAGTGAATCTTTAGAAAAGGAGACGGCAGGTGTAAGCTCAAGGCAGGGAGAGTCGAGCTACGGTTTCTGGTAAGCAAAACCATTTCTGGTATTACATTTCACAACCTCCCATTTTTCCTTCTCCCAAGGAGCCACCTTTTTAGAGTTTTTTTTCCAGTCCCTTCTCAAAGAAAGGCTTTAAGCATTAATGTAAAAATAATGTCCTCTGTTTTCAGCGACATTGGTGCGTGTTTGAAGACCATGCCCTGGCAGTGATATTTGCTGTCCCAGTTCCTTGCTAATCTTTTTTCTGACTTTTTAAAAGTCAAATCTGTGGAACTCTCCATCTGTTTCTCATTAAATAAAAAGGACATACATTGAAGTGGAGAGATTTTAGGCAGAATCGGAAAGCCATTTTGTAGAACTGCTACAGTTATGTAGGGAAAATATGGGGGGGGTGTGTTTTTTTTAATTAAAAAAAAACTTCTGAATTGGATGGGAGGGACCCTTTCATGTCTATTGACCATAAGTTCTTTCATTTACTATGTAAGCACTTTGCCTGTGCCTCTGTAGTATTCCTTCCTTGGGAGCTGAGCACTACCCCCATGGTTTCCTGATCACTAATAAGCAGGGATTTAATAACAGATCCTCCTTAACATGGGAGTTGGGGAGCCCGGTCCTGTAGCGTTGAGTTTTTGAGGGGTGGGGATGGTATTGTTTTTTGCATCCTGTTGAGAAGCAGATGAGCTTTCAGGAAGGGCCTGTACTAGGTTCTCAAAATGGTTCCTGAGGGATAGAGATTTCGTATGCAGAGGAAAGCTGAGACACTCGGTACAGGAAGTCATGCTAAGAAATGTCTGGAACAAGGGAAAGGGTAATAAAGGCATTTCCTGAGGCCTGTAAATTAAACTTGGAGCATTGTCCCTTTTGTTTTAGAAGATAGTCATGATCCTTTTGTGTGGAATTTTTGAGGCAATTCAGTCCTCTTGGTGATGAGTGCAGAGTAACTCTAGCCAAGGCTGCATTTTTTAACTTTTTAATTGAATAATTCTCAAGTAGGATTCCTCTTGGAGGCAGGAATCCCTGGCATAGTGTCTGGAAAGAATGATAGAAGGTTCCCCAGTGCTTTGCACCAGCAGTGTCTAAAGCGCGCAACAACCACAAAGTAACAGGACAAGTTGGGGGTAGGCCAGGGCCTACCCCCTACTTTTCTGATAATCTGCCTTCAAGAATTGTAACAGCTCATTAAAAGAAGACATACTCATGGGTCTGGTTGATAAGTAGGTAATGTTAGTGCTGTTGGTCACCGCCCCTCCTTCCCCGGTCAGCTCGAGTTCACTACAGGCCTGGGCTGGCCATGTCAGCCTCTTCTCTCCACTTGAGTGCCTTGGAAGTTTCACTTTACATTATGCTGACTTCAAAGTAAGGGAATTAAGATTTAAAACACTTGATCTGCATTAAAGCATGGAAAAACCCACTTGGGAGTTAATCACATGGCTAGTGCTCATGGGACCAGATTTATTATTTTTTTTCCTAAAATGCAGATAGTGGGAGATGAATATTTAACATTTGTAGCTTGCCTTAGTTCT